GGAGGGAGCCCCGGACAAAGGGGCCAGGAGAGGCCCCATGGAGGGAAGCAGGATTGAAAGGACCTGTGGAGATAAGTCAGTTTAGAAAGAGGCGGGATCGCAGGGCTCCAGGTTGAGGGAAGAACGTAGCAAGGGAGCGAAGTTGGGGCTCAGGGGCCTGGGAGCGAGCACGTGTTCTGGACTGTCTGGAACACAGGGGCAAGGTGAGGGGCACTGTGGGGTCAGGCTGCAAAGGTGGATCGGGAGTGACACATGGAAGCTGAATTTGGCATGAAGGAGTCAGGCTTAGTGAAGGCTGTGGACCAGGGGTCCTCAAACTTTTTAAACAGGGGGCCAGTGCACTGTCCCTCAGACAGTTAGAGGGCCGCTGGAGGGTGCGGTGCACATTCCACACATGCGCACTGTGGGCCCGGGACGAGTCGGCTGCTAAGCAGGACAGGCAGCGGCAGCAAAAACACCCGGCGGGCCGGATAAATGTCCTTGGTGGGCCGCATGTGGCCCACAGGCCACAGCTTGAGGACCCTTGCTGTGGACAGTCTGGAGCAGGGAGCACTGTGGTCAGATCAAGACCTCAGGACAACAATTTAATGATTCGGAGGAATTGGAATTTCACCTCTTGAATCCTCACTGGGGTCTGGAAGGACCCCCGTCTCCAACACGAGAACCCTTTGCTGGATGATGCTCCGGAATGTCCCTGAGGTGGTGACCACAGGGGGTCTCAGTACCAAGCTCTTCTCCCTCTTCCTATGACCACACTGGAGAAAACTCCTGGGTAAACAAGGCTCTTACCAGGCCGCATCCAGCCCTGCCATTCTCACCAACATCCATGTCCCTCCGTCCTCCTTGGCTGTCGGGTGGCGTGAGCAGCCTGACCACGCCAGGCCAAGGACCTGCACGGTGCACGGTGAGACTGACGTCTCGCAATAGTTGTAGGATTTAATCAGGCCAATCGAAGGGGACATTAGAGGACTTTTCTAATCCCAAAGTCATAGACAAACAAGAGCAAGGCAGTGGGCCAGTCAATAAGAAGAGAAAATGACAAAAATGCATTCACGATAGAAGACTTTATTATGCTGTGCCAGTGAGTGCAATGAAATTTAAAAGTCCTATCATGCTACATATCTTTTTGTTCAAAATTATTATGCCCTCCCAGACCAATCAATTATGATTTATTCATGTGAAAGTTTAGCTACATGCTGTTAATCTAGAATCTGATGTTGGTCCAGTATAGAAGTTCTATTTTCATATTTCATTTCATTTTCAAAATAAATTCAAAAATTGAACTTTCTTCGTTCACACTTCCTATGAAACTGTGGTCCCTGTTTTAGTAGATTCGCTTGGAGTGGGCTTTTTTCTGTTCAATTATTGGGCAACTATGGAGACCATCACATGGTTTAATATTTGTTAGAGTTTTATGAATGATGAATGACCATCGAGCCGTTTCCAGACTGGTGTACTTGGCCTTCTGGTCTCTGGTCTCTGGCTTCTGCATGCCCTGCCTGACCTCGGGCCATTCATCATTTACTTAACATTTAATGAGCACCTGCTGATTGCCAGGTGCTCTTTAGGCCCTGGGGATATGACTTGTCAACAAAATATCAAAGATCTCTGCCTCATGGAGCTTATATCTTTTCTTTCTTCTTCTTCATCTTTTTTTTTTTTTTTTTTGCTTGTTTTCGACTTTTTTTTAGAGATTCTCGCTCTGTGCGCCAGGCTAGAGTGCTGTGCTGTCACTCAAGCCTAGCTCACAGCAACCTCAAACTCCTGGCTCAAGCGATCTCCTGCCTCAGCCTCTTCCAGAGTATCTGGGACTACAGGCTTGGCCACCACACTCGCTACTTTTTTCTATTTTAGTAGAGACAGGGTCTCACTGTTGCTCAGGCTGGTCTCGAACTCCTGACCTTAAGAGATCCTCCCACCTTGGCCTCCCAGAGTGCTAGGATTACAGGTGCGGGCCACAGCACCCCCAGCCCGTGGACCTTATATTTTAAGGGACCCACTGGCTGATCTCCCCTCTTCCACTTCTTATTCCCTTCCTGAAATTGCAGACTCTGTCCCTGGGACCCTCATCTTTAGCCTGTCTGGGTTCTGATTTCGTATGCTGCAAAGTGGGGAAGAGTTGACTCTTAGGGTCGTTATTGGATTAAATAAGGAAGTCCCCCTGGCACTCGAGAGACCAGGCCACCCCTAAGGGTAGACTAAGTAGTCGGATAAGTGGCCTCCCTAAAATGGGTGGGGAGTGGGTGAACCGACGTAGGAACACCTCAGTTCCCACCTGTGTCATCTCTTAGAACAGCCGGGAGCGCTCCACTTGGCCCTGGACGGCTAACTTGGGCGAGAGGTATTGAATGAATTTCTCCAGGTTGACCTCTTCTTGCTTTTAGATAAAGATGCCAGGACCCAGGACCCGGAGAAACTCCTGGGGAGTGACCCTCTCCAGATGGCTCATTTTTTCGTTCAGCAAACAAGCACTGCCAAGGCGATAAAGCCTCGTGACTGAGAGCTCCGTACCAGTTATGAGTGCATCACCTAGGGCAAGGGATGTAACCATTCCTGGCCTCAGTTTCCTCATCTGCAAAATGGGGATAATGGTTATGCCTTCTTTGTAGTGTTGTCCCAAGGGTTACATCTGAACTAACTCATGATAAGCATCTAGACAACACCTGGCATAGAGTAGTTGCTCAATGTGTGTTAGCTATTATTTATTTTTTAAACTATTTGAGGCACAGTTCCATGTGCTGGGGATATAACAAGCCCTCCTTGGGGGCTCAGTACCCCCTAATCTTTATGCCTCTCCAGCCATGCTGCGTGCCGGCCAGAGAGGTGTGGGCAGGCCGCATATGTGACAGCAGGTGCCAGTCTGTGGTCCACATGCAGTGGGTGGCAGAGCTGGCACTCAGGCCTAAGGGCCTTGACTCTCTGTCCATTGCCTTCTGCCACCCCACAAGGTCTCTCCGTGCCATCCGAGGGGACAGCATGTGTCAGGGAGGATCCTCACAGCTTAGCACACGCTGATCTGGGACCTCAGAGAGAAGCTAAGGCAATGAATGCGTTGTTCACCCGACACCCAGCCCGGGGCCCCTGGGCTGGCTGGGTGGCAGGTCTGAGGGCTGTGAGTGTCTGTGGCCACCACAGGGAAATGCCAAAACCTCAGGTGCCCAGATGCAGGCTAAGTGGGTGGGCGGGTAAGGCCAGGAGGGCACCCCAAAGAGGAAAGGGAACAACAGCAACGGTGGCATTCCCTGAGGCCAGGACCCGGGAGTGCATTTTATAGGCAGCGTCTCACTTGCAATCCTCCCGGTAACCCTGGGAGAGAAACCGTCTTTCTACCTGCCCATTACACAGAGGGTGAAACTGAGTTTCAAAGAAGCTTCCAATGAGAAATTGTTGGATAAAGAAGAGGAAAGGTAGGTTCCAGGGGGTAGAAATGAGCTCCCTAGCCTGCCATCTCACCACCCAGAGGTTTTGGGGGAGGGCACGGGACAAGACTGACTCTTCAATTCCCTGGGAGCCCCAGGAAAGGGGAGCCGCTCTCGAGGGGCAAGGGCTGCAGGCTGGATTCCAAAACAGCCCTCCTCTGTCATCCCGTGAGCCCCTCAGAAGACAGGGAGGGCTGCGCTGGGACATGGACACGGCTCAGAGCCACATAGCGAATTCGTTTAGTGCCTTTCCGTGGGGATGCTGGCAGATTGGCGGGGCAAGCTCACCTTGCCAACCTGCCCCTGGAAAGATGGGTGTAAACTGAGCCTGTGTAAACGGACTCAAATTGTCCCAGCGACCTGTAGGCTCATTTCTGAGTGACCCTCGGTGGGCAGAGGTTCCAACGTTGGAACCTCACTGGGTCACCTGTCCGCCAGCAGCATTTGCATGTATTTAAGCCGCTTCCTCCTGATCTTATTCAACAGGAACCTTTTCAGGAACCCCACAGACAAGCCTCGTTTGTCTGGAGTTTTCAAAGTTGCATGTGTCTATTTCTCAGTCTCCAGCGGGTCTGGATGCGGCCCCTTAGCTGGAAGTCTCAGCACCGTGGGCGGCTGGGTCCCGCCTCCTGCAGGGCAGACTGTCCTGGACATCTGTGCTGGCGGGACCCCAGTGTGGGCAGTGTGAGGACACTAAGCTCCCAGAGGTCTGGGCATTTTCCATACTGACTATTCCCCCACATCCCCTTTCCCCAGCCCAAAAAGGGAGACCACAGCTATCACTGGGATGGAATCTTCTGGGCATTGGGCTGAAATAGAGGGATTCCTCCCACTCCTACTATTAGGTTCTTTAAATGAACCTGTAGCCAAGGCCTATCCCACCCTGACACATTCCATCCTATTTATCTGCCCCCTCATTCATTGATTCATTCATTCATTCAACAGAGCATAGACCATCCATCCGTTGTTGAGCACAAACCATGGGCCAGATGCTGGGGAGAGCCAGAGTTCTTGCCAGTCCTAGGCGCTAACTGCTCCTGGCTGGGTGGTGGGGACAGGACACAGGACTGAAGGCCGAGGCCTTGTCCATCCTGCTCGCTGCAGCAACCCAGCCTAGCGCGGTGATGGGCACAGAGCAGGTCCTCCATATACACCTGTCAAATGGGCCTACGACATACAGATGATGAAATAAATGACACGGCAGGTTCCAGCTATGCTAGTGGCAGGGGGGACGGTCTTATGCCGTGCAGACCCCGAGAAGGCTTCACGGGGATGGTGGCATTGGAGCTGGCCTTGCAGGACAGGTAAGATTTCCTCTAGGGGAGGGAGGAGTGGGGCAGCATTCCCGGAGAATGGAGCAGCAGCAGGGGAGAGAGCAGCAGTCGGGCTTGTCTTCGGAAACAGCACGAGGCCTCGAGTGGCTGGAGCGTGGGCTGTGCGGGGTGGGGGCGGGTATGAGAAGCATAGATTTGTTACTCACATTGGCAGAACACGGGCCTGAGGTGGGGAGGTTTAGAGGAACGAGACCAGAATGTGAGAATCGCAGAATTCTAGAAGCTTAGAACAATCAGACCAGATCCACAGAACCCACCCCCGGGCCTCACTGGTGTGGGAGCTGGTGCCGGCCAGTGGGTGGGGTTGTCCTTGGAGTCCAGGCTCTTAATGGGGCTATGAGAGCGTGGGCTTCCTGGAGGGGGGAAAGGATAAGGACACTCCCAGCCCCAGGTAAGTGGGCAGGTGGCAGGCCCAGAGCCGCTCGATGGGCTCACAGTCTGCGTCTATCCCAGGCCTGGCCGAGCCCACTCAGCCAGGGACCCCCACTCTGTGGGGCGGGATCTGGGTGGGACTGGGTCAGGGTGAGGGTGAGAGGCTTCCAGACAGCCTTGCAGGGGGAGGGAACAGACCTGCCACGTTGTCTCTGGGACAACAGGGAGTCGAGGATGCAGGGGACAGAGACCGTTTCAGCAATAAGGCCAGGATGGGGGAGGGCTGGTGCTGAGACGGGGCCTGGGCAGGGGCCTGGGCAGAGACCCGAGGGACCCTCCCAGCTTGGCAGGCCTGGAGGACGCCAGGGCACAGGAGGTTAAATGACGTGCTCAAGGCCACACAGAATGGAGGTGGCAGAGCCCAGCATCTGGAAGTGACTATCCAAGGACTCCAACCCCAGGCAGTACTCCAGAGACTGGGACCTGCCACCACCCAACAAGCAAGTTTCTGCCTTTCCAATCTCTTCCTGACAAGCAAATATCCCCTGGCAAGGGGGCCACAAGCACCCTGCCCTTGACCCCAGGAGCCTTGTTGCCTTCTCCACCCCGTCATGATGGCTGAAGCTGTCTAGGACCCTTCTCCCCGCTCCTTCCCCGCACACCCTCCCTCCCATGCTCAGCATGGGCTGGACAGGAAACAGCAGGCTTTGGGGAGGTGACAGCTCCCACCCAGCTCGGCCGCTCTGGCCGTGCGACACTGGGCTCCAGGCTCCCCCCTGAGCCTGTGGAGTGAGGGCAGGCGTGCACACGGGCCATGCTATGAAGGTGCCCCACGCCGAGGTCCTCTCATGCGGGACGCTGGGGCTCGGGCAGGGGCAGAGGCACGCCCACGGCCCTTGCAGAGCCCACAGCCCCGTGGGAAGACGAGCTATGCCAGGTGGGTGGTTACGATGCCTCAGAATCTGGGGTGTGATACACAGAGGCCCCAAAGTTGTGAAGCCCCATGGAGGGAGTATCTGTTGGACAGGAGTGTCAGGGAAGGCTTCCTGGAGGAGGTGACAGTGGAACTGAGCCTTGGATGATGAGTCGGACTTTGAAAAGCAGAGAGGCAAAGACCATCTCTTGGAAAGGCTGCGGGGGGAAAGAACTGGCCCGTTCAGAGCATGGTGAGGAGGTCAGTGTTTCTGGAAGAAAGGAAACATGCAGGACATGGCAGGTGGTGGCACTGGGGAGAGGTGGGGACCCGGTGGGGAGAGTCTTGAATGGCAGGCTAGGAGTGCGACTTGCCCTTTTGGACAAAAGCTTTGGGCAGCCACTAAACTCAGGGGGAATGGAGGCGTGTGTGTGTGTTTGTGTGTGTGTGTGTGTGTGTGTGTGTGTGTGTGTGTACGTGCACATATATGTGTGGTGACAGAGAGGACCAGAAGGGAAACAGCCTGGAGGTTGAAGGACCAGTTAGGAGGTGGTCAAGATGGTCCAGGGGAGCAACAATGGGGGTGGGGGTGAGGATTTCAAGAAAACACCCAGGCAGAAGTGACGAGGCTTGGGAGAAGCTGGAGACAGTGTAGACTCATGGTGGAGCACATGGGCTCTCTGGTCCCTCTGCCGTGGTTACCGCCCAGCCCTATCTCACTGCTGTGTGGCCAGGGGCACGTTGTCTCACCTTTCTGAGCCTTGGCATTTTCATTTATAAAACAGGGATAGTAAGAGCACCTACCACTGAGAGATGCTGTAAAACTGTGCATGCAAAGCTCTTAGCATGGTGTTTCGTCCATTCAGCAAATATTTATTGAGCATCTACTACGTCCCTGGCACTATTCTATGGGTAGCAGATATGGTAGCAAAGAAACTAAAACAAAATCCTTGCCCTCATGGGGATTACACTCAACCTGGAGGGTTGAGGAGACACATTAAACAACATAAATAAGCAAAAGACACATTATGGTGGTAAGCACTAAGGAAAATGCAAGAAGGGGAAGCTAGGAAGTGTTGGGAGGCTGGGATTTTAGGAGTGAGTGGTTTTGGTGGTGGAGCCATCGTGGATGGCACGTGAAGTTCAAGGCAAGAGAGTGGGAACGGAGGGAAGCCAAGGTCGCCACACTCAGGTATCAAGGGATAAATGCCTGGGGAGCTGGTGCTCTGTTCCCACGGATGCTGAAGTCACCCGGGATGATGGCAGGGCATGGGGACCAGGGGAAACCCTGAGCCAGGCGCCAAGTGTTTGCCAAAAGGAGGGTGATGGGGACTTTAGAGGTTGCAGGCCATACAGGGCGAGGTAGCCAGAAGGCACCAGCCCCCCAAGGAGAAGGGTTTAGAGGACACAGAGAGTGGGGGTCTTGGAGCAATAACTGAGACCAAGGAGGGCTTCCGTGCCACCTCCCGACTCTGAGGGGTGACAAGCCCCCCTGGAGAGGATGCAGGGACAGCAGGCCTCAGGCAAGGACACAGAATGTCCAGAGAGGCTCAGGCTTGCTGGCTGCGGAGGGTGGTTGCAGAGAGCTCAGCGGGAGGTTTGGAGACACAGGTGATGGCCAGGAGTGGGCTCGGGGACACAGAGTGGCAGAGCGCCCCCTCCAGGTTGATGCTCCGTTGCGAGGAAGGTAGATTCCAGAGATGGCTGATAAACACAGAACCGGGAAAAGGGCCTGAGGGATTTACACTCAGCAGGGTCTTTGAGGAGCCACCCCTAGCCAGGGGCAGAGACTTCTCTCCCTCAGCTGGGCCGCTGCCAAACCCAGAGACGGCCAGCTTGGCGCTGGGATTACGTATTCATTCATTCAACAAATATTCATTCACCCCCTACTATTAGGGCAAGCGAGATTCAAGGCACCTCGGATAGATCAGTGAGAAACCGGGCCCCAGTGCCCGTCCTCGCGGAGGGAGGCGCATAACATCACACAGGGTGGATATTTCATATACAATGTGCTGGGGAGACACAGGAGGGGAAAGCCACAGCAGAGCAGGGCGAGGCATTGGAAGGGAAGGGGGAGGGTGCAGGTTTAAGCAGGTCTTAAGGGTGAGCCTCGCTGAGACCCAAAGGTGTGCAGGTGAGGAGCACCGTGTGGCTGCCTAGAGGAAGAGCATTCCAGGCAGTGGGAACAGCCAGTGCCAAGGGCTGAGGCAGGAGGTGGCTGGAGGGACTTCACCAAGGGGGTGTCAGAAGGGAAGTCAACGGGGCCCAGGTCCGTGGGGTCTCGCGGCACGTGGGAGCCATCAGGGAACTTGAGCCATGGAGCCACATGACCGGATGCTTGTCTTCCAAGGATCCCTTTGGCGGCTCCACTGGGAATAGACCGTTGGGGGACAATGGGGTCGCAGCAGGGGAGGTGACAAGAAGCAGGCTCAGCTTCTGGGCTTGCAGCTTTGCTCACTTGCTGTCTCCTGCATCCTTGTCTGGACTCCCCCCTGCTCATCCCCCACTGTATTCCCAGCACCCCGTGTCCTGTTGCACCCCTGGGAGGCTGCCGACACTCACTCACTCATTTCACTTTAGAAATGTTTATTGAGCACCTATTATGTGCCAGGCCTAAATATACATGTTTTGGCCGGAAAGACAGCAACCACTGAGGATTTATAATTTCTAGGCCACCAAGAAACAGTCTTGGTATATAATGGTCACTCTTGTGACCAGGCACCTCCTCTAAACTGTACAGAACTCCCGGAGTCCGGGTTCTGCCCAACATTTCATCTGAGAAACACAGCCCAGAGCCCCAAATCATCTCAACCTTTCTGCACGCCTCTTAGAGAACAGGAAAAGGACCCATTTATATAATAACTCAGGCACCCCTGCCGAGAGCTCCCCTTCCCGGCCTCCCTGACCCTCCGGCTGTCCTAAGACCCTGGCTCTTTAAGCCCCCACCCAATCCCTTTCTGTTTTCTCTCACCTGCCAGCTCTTTTCCACATCCCACATCCCCAAAAGCAAGGACCTGGGCAAAGACAGGCTGTGGCGCATGTCAGGGAAGACAAACATAGTGGACGTTGGCCCTGACACTCTCGGTCAGCTCCACCCACTCCGAAGCCCCAGACTCACATCCCAAACCAAGCACATCTTGTCCTCATCTACAGAAGGACAATGCTTGCCCTAGAAGGTTTCGTGAGGATGGAATGAGATAATCTACATGCCCAGCACATGGTCCCGTTTAATAAATCCCAGCTGCTGTTACTATCATCTTCCCCACTCCAAATTTCCTGTGCTGCCAGGCTACAAACTCCGTGCCATTAGGGCTGTGTCTTATCTTGGTATCCCCAGCGGCTAGTTCAGGGCCTGGAATACAGTAGGCGCTTATCAACTCTGGGTGAATTGATGAAAAATATGCATTAACTAGGCCCCCAGGATTTAAAGTTTACTCTTTCCGAGGGGTTCTGGCATTCTTAAAGGGCCAGCGGGAGGGAGTCTGCCCTCCCGGGAGAGGGGCAGTGTGGGGAGCCTGGATGGGGTAGGATGCTCTTGGCAGGAGGCAGGAAGGGCTGAAGCCTCAGTCCAAGTTCGCTGCTCCAAGTCCAAGTTCATGAAGCTCATTCCCCAGTGGCGTTCTGGACAGGAGGAGGGCGCGGAGTGGGACATGTGGCTCTGTTGGGACATGAGCTTGCTCCTCCCAGGCTTGCTCTGGCCACCAGGACAGAGGACTCCTGAGAGAAGCCGCTGGGGACAGGGCAGCTCCCTCCGGCTCTATCTGCCCCTCCGGCTGTCAGCCTGACAGGAGATAAGCCAGGCCAGAGCTGCCAGGGCCGTGCTGGGAGGGAGAACATAATTAAAAAGCCACTGCTGGCACCTGAGGATCTTAGCTGGGGACAGAGAGAGGACCTAGAGGGGAGGTGTCCCTTTTTTGAGAAAGGGCAGAGACATCAGCACTCACTGAACAGCCTCGAGAATAACTGGCTTGACCACAGGCTGCCAGCGCAGGGAGCTGCAGAGAGGAACCCTCAGAGAGAATCTGACCAGAAGCTTGTACCCCACACCCTTTGTGTGACTTCGCTTCCCATCCCCACCCCGCCCCGCAAAGGCCCGGGAGCACTGGGAGGGTCTCGGGAGGCTGCTGGACCCCCAAGCTGCTGCGGTCCCGAGAAGCACGGGGAAGCCGCGTGTCTCCTCATTCACGCAATCAGGCCGTGCCCACTTACCTGGCGCGTACACCCTACCGCGGTGACAGGCGGTAGCGAAGCATCTCACGCACGAAACCCGCACAGCAAACGGTAGAACCACTCTGCGGGAGAGACGCTGGCTCTGTGAGAGGTGACAGGGGCTGGGCAGGTGGTCTGGCCTCCCCACGGAGGGGACCGCAGTTGGCACCGGAGAACGAGAGGAGGAGAGGAGCCAAGAAGCAGGTGTGGAGTAGAGACAACCAGGAGCGCCGTGGGGGCAAGAGCGTCGCGCACGTGAGGAGTGCAGGCTGCTGAGACCGCCGCCAGGCGCGTGGAAGCCACTGGCGGGGGGAGAGGCTGGCGGGCGGCGGAAGCCCGCCCGCTTGTGTGTGGAGGTGCATTCGTCCCGGCCACGGGGTAGAGAGTGGGTTCCGGGGGGAAGATGGACTCAAGAGGCCGGTTAGGAGCTGCGGTCCAGGTAGAGACAGTGGTGGCTTGGGTCAGGGTGCTGGTGGCCGAGAAGGAAGGCCTGGGTGGATGCAAGGTTTTCCCGGAGATAAAGCACGAGCTTGGCGATGTGGGGGGTGTCGAGAAGAAGGTGCAGAACGACTCCCAGGTTTGGGCCTCTCTACCCAGGGGGACGGTGGCCCCTCACTTTGGTGTCTCTCGGGGGTGTCCCTCGCTCCCCTCACAACCAAGTGCCGACTGTAGCGGTAGACTCTCTGACGTCAGACCAGGTGGGACGTGGAGATCTGTCCCTGTGCCCTCACTGTGCAGAGGAAACATCTGCAGCTCCAGGGTCGTGGGGCACACAGAGGGATGTGGTCAGAGCCTGAGTGTCCCCAACTCCTGTCCCAGCTGTCTGCTGGGGAGAACCGCAGGCTAAGCATGAGGGACTTGGGCTCGAACCCAGACTGCTCCACTCACTGGGTGAATCCCAGTAGGCTACATGTCTTCCGGCCTCAGTTTCTCGACCTGTGAAATGGAAAGAAAGAGAATGACCACTTCTCCCCTTCTCAGGGATGACTGGTACTTATCGTGGGGTCACGAACGTGGACGTCCTTGGGGAAAATGAAGAGAATGGCACTCTGATGGCCTTGGAGCATCCTAAATGAGAAACTGGGTTGAGGGGTGCGGGTGGCTTCTCCCCACCTCCTGCGCTTCCTGTCTCTTGCAGGCCCTGAAGGCTGAGTAGCCAGCAGGATGCCCGGCCTGCTGAATCAGATCACGGGGGCAGCTCTGCCCCTCACCACGTCCGACGTCACCTCCTTCGTCAGTGGTTACGCCCTGGGCCTGACTGCCTCCCTCACCTATGGCAACCTGGAAGCCCAGCCCTTCCAGGGTAAGGACCTCTGTTGGGGGTACCCCCAGGCCACCTCCTCCTCCACGCTGAATCCTCGTCCTAACATTTACTAGCTGATTGACGTTGGGGAAGTCAAGCGACCTCTCTGAGCCTCAGTTTCCCCATCTGTAAAATAGGAATACCGTTTCTGCCCTGCAGGCCTCAAAGCTAATAGCAAGGAACGTTAGGATCCAAGTGAAGGAGGTCTGGGCTCAACACCCACCAGCTGTCCCCACGATTTTTCCGTAGTAAGAGGCACACTGCCCAGTCCACGCCTTCTCCAGGGAGCCCCGCGGTAGGAGAGACATCCGACTTAGTTGAAGCCAGCAGCTCCCAGGCCCAGGCATGGCTCTGGCTCCTGTGACCTTGGGGACCCACTGTCCCCCTCCAAATCAGGATGCTCCCCCGTGCTCTCGCACACCAGGGGGTGCGGGCAGAGCAGATGATGTAATGCAGGAGGCAGGACGCTGTGGACTGAAGAACAACCTGGAAACATGACTCACAGCATGGGGCGGCCAGGGCACAGAAGCACGCTTGCCTGCAACAGTTGTCTGTAAATCAAACTCCTCTCCTTCCGGTCCAGGACGGGAGCTGCAGGCTGGCTCACCGGGAGGGTGCTGGGCAGGACTTCCCGCTCATCTGCAGTGACGGGGCCTCCTGGCCACTAAACTTCCTGTCTTTGGGCACCGACCTCCAGCCCCACCTGAGGTTCTGAAACCTGCCGTGGGGGCGACTCCACCCAAAGGGACCTGCAGGGCAGCTCTTGCCCTTAGAAATGTCCTGGGCTGTGCAAATAGCCTTGTTCCTACGTTTAAGGAAACCTAGGAAGAGTGGCTTAAAATCATCTCCTGTAGACTAAATAACTGAATAACTTCAATCAGCCCTTGGGCTTCATGTGCAAGAGCAGGTACCCCCATTTTATAGATCAAGAAACTGAGGCTCAGAGGGCAGGAAGTCAGGGTCCGTAGAGGGCTCCCCACGGGCCCAGCATCGTGCTGTTCCAGTGCCAGAGGGGAGGTTAGACAAGCCCCTGGTGCTCCCAGCGTGGTCCCCAAACCATCAGCATCACTCGCAAGCTGCTTAGGAATGTGGGGTCTCAGGCCACCCCCCCCCAACTACTGAATCTGAATCTGCATTTTAATAAAACTCTAGATGGTTCATAAGATACTAAATTTGAACAGTGCTGAGCTATAAAACTGCATGGCGCATGTGTGGGGCACGTAGCTTAATAAATGGGGGCTGTTTTCCAGTCCTCACAACGACCCTGTGAGTTTGGCTTCATGATCCCCGTCTTACAGACGGGGCTGCGAGGCTTAGAGAAGCTAAATGTCTTATCCAAGGTCCCCTGGCTGGGACACACGGCAGGGTCTGGAGTAGAACCTTACTCTTCCTCCAAAGCCCCGGCCCTTGGTGCCACAGAGGCCGAATTCACCATGCAGGTGTGTTTTGTTAGGTCTACACAACAACTCACATAAAAATCTAGGTTCCCACTCTCTCTTGGAAAATCAGGAGTTCTGGCCACACCAGGCTCACGTACCTGCAAAGAGCTGGCCCTGCCGCTGCGCTTCCTGCTGGGCCCCAGAGCCAGGAGCTCCGAGCCCCACCCTCTGCCCAGGCCTCTGGCACCGGCTAAGTGGCGGTGAGGACCAGCCAGCCTGCAGGCCAGAGGCTCGGGTTCCTCCCCAGCAGCAGGGGGTGCAGGGGGGTGCCGGGGCACCCCACGATGCTGGGCCCTGCTCTTACAGGCCTCTTCGTGTACCCGCTGGATGAGTACACCACGGTGATCGGCTTTGAGGCGGTCATTGCTGACCGTGTCGTGACAGTGCAGATCAAGGACAAAGCCAAGCTGGATGACGGCCACCTCGATGCCTTCCAAGTCCGATCGCCAACTGTCAAAGGTAAGGAGACCAGAAGGGCCACAGTGGGGCCTGGGCCTGGCCAGAGGCTGCGCGGGTTGGAGCTGCAGTAGACTGGGAGGCAGCCGTGGGATGGGGGGTGGAGAGAGCACCGAACTAGTTAGGAATCCCAGCCAGAATCCTGTGCAACCTTGGGCCAATAATGAACTTCTCTGAACCTTGGCTTCTCTGTCTATAGAGGTGATCTTTCCTCTTCTCACCTCAAAAGCATGGTGAGGATCGAAGGAAGGGAGGCAACAAAAGGGTTTTTGAGATATGTCTAGAGAACAGAATAGCCTGTCATTTAAGCTCAGGGGCTGAGGAATGAGTCTCGCCAGGGTTTGCCTCCCTATCCTGCTGCTCAAAGTGGTGACAGCTTAGATAAGAATTTAACCTCATTTGTAAAATGGAATAAATAACTACACTCGCCCAATGCTCGACCAAGGCGATGTATGTATGTATGCACTCACATCACAGTAAGGGCTCAAAGCCCGGCTACCAATGCCTGCTGTTGAGGAAACTGAGGCTCAGAGGGGGAGAGTGACTGGCTCAAGGTCACACAGCATGTTAGTGGCAGAGCCAGGCCTTGAACCCAGACATGTATCATGTAATGTAAGAGATTCTTACCACTGGCTGTATGATCCAGGTGAAGTTTGTACACCTAATTGTTAAAATGTTCAACAATCTTTCAATGAGCACTCACCATGTGTAAGATGTAAAATTGCTCTGAAGATATTGTGGTTTCTTATGGCCTGGAAGAATAGTTAGGCCATGCCTTAGAGTAATTGTGATGGGAGGTCGAAAGCAGCTGTCTGTCCTAAAAAGGGTCATGACAATGTTAGAGGAGGGAAACCAGAGCCCAGACTGGGAGGAAAACCAGGGTGTTCATGGAGGGTTGGATGGATGGGTAAGACTAGCTAGGTAGGGAGGAGGGAAAGGCCTGCAGATAACATAAAAGACTACAAGCAAAAGCATGGGTTCCAGAAGTGAGGTGCTTTGACTTTGTTCTTGGGTTGGGGAGAAGCGTTTGTGAAATGGACGTGTGGCCCTGTGTTGGGGGTTTCGTAGGTCTGAGTCTCCTACTCCCATCAGGGTACAGGGAAAGTACACAGGCCCCACGTGGGCTGAGATCCTGATTCAACAAGTTGGTTATTTGCTGAGTAACGTGGGCAAGTCACACCCCATGCTGAGCCTTGGTTTTCCCATCAGCCAAATGGGGCTGCTCAAACCTGCCCCGCAGCAAGCTTAGAGGGGGTCCCAGATGATATGTGCACAGCCCCTGACGCCAGCCTGGCACTTAGGGAACATTCTGCAAGAGGGGGTTTCCATCGCCCCTCATTCCTGCACACCGGGAAAGGTGGCCTTGGATGAGGACTTGGAGCGGATCCTGTTCGTGGTCAACCTGGGCACCATCGCCCCCATGGAGAACGTCGCCATCTTCATCAGCACCTCCTCGGAGCTCCCCACGCTGCCCAGCGGGGCCGTGAGGGTCCTGCTGCCTGCCGTCTGTGCCCCGACTGTACCCCAGTTCTGCACCAAGAGCTCTGGCTCCTCTAACCAACAGGCCCAGGGGTAAGGAGGCCCCGCCCGGACCCGGGTCAGAGTCTCGGGTGGCCAGCAGAGAGTGGATCGGGCGGAGTCAGCAGGGTGCGGGGTGGGGGTGACAGGGAGTAGAAACGCTCCTCTGCGTTCCTCGCTCACTTGTAGAGGACGTAAGAATCTCCCTGAAAATGCCCCCGTGTCGGTACTGGCCAGAGTTATGAAATCTGGACATCCTGGGGTCAGAATCTCCAGGGTTTATTTTTTTAATTCACTCGAGAGGTATTTTCTGAGCACCTACTATGTGCTGGACACTGGCCTGGGTGTTAGGGACAGAGAAAGGACGAAACCAACATGGTCCCTGTCCTTTTGGAACTTGGCAGAAGAGATCGTTATCCAACTAATAACACAGCTAATGTGTGACTAATTGTTTATGTACTGGAATGCATAATTAATTATGGCGAAAGTGCAATGAAGGAGAAGTTTGTTGGGCTAAGAGTATAAAAGAGGGACCCAACCTGGGGGGCCAGGCCAGGCTTCTCAGGGAAGTGATGTTTCTGCGGAGGGCTGAAACAATGAGGAGGATGTAGGCTCAGAGAGGAGCATTCCCGTAGGTGAGACCAGCAGGGGCAAAGGCCCTGGGGTAGCAAGCACAGGGCCCCAGAGAGAAGCTGCGGCACAGGTGGTATGCGATGAGGCCACAGAGGCACGGGACACCCTGTGGCCCTGACAATGCCTTTGAATTTCTCCCAAAAGCAACAAGGAGCCCTTAGAAGGGTTTTCAGCAGGGCAGGGAGGGGACTATGACAGCCCCAGCACCAGGACAGTTTCTCTGTACTACCCAGTGGCATCGGAGGGAAAAGGAGGAGGGTCACAGCCTCGTCACTTACAGCTGAGATCATTTTCAATGAAAATAAGTGCCATATAGGGGACAGAGGGGAACAGAGGAGGACAGGTGGGAGGAGGACAGGTAGGAGGAGGACAGGTGGGAGGAGGGCTACCTTAGCTAGAATGGGCAAGGATTCGGCAACATCTGTGGCCTGACCTGGATGAAGGGAGCAAGCCATGGAAAAAATGCTGGAAGGAGACTATTTCGGGAGGAGAGAGTGGCAAGTGCAAAGGCCCTGAGGCAGCAGCACAAAGGTTACTACGGCCATAGCAACATGAGGGAAGAAAGGAGAGAAGTCAGAAAGGTAGTGAGGAGTCAGATCGTGTAGGGTCTTAAAGGTCAGGAGGAGGACACCTGGCACAACTGAGAAGCTGGCAGCACATGGGAACCAGGGACCGCCTGCCTGCACATTGTCTTTATAAGCATTGCTATTTTTATAAGCATTGCTATTGGCTCTGAGCCTTGTGCATCTGAGCGGCAGGTCCTAGCTGGGACATTCAGGACCTCAGTGGATCCGGGAATAAGAGGCTCGGGAGGCCCTGATGTTTCTGACAGGTCCTGATGAGCTAACTCTGCCCTTCTGGCAGGCAGAGTTAATAGTGACACTCTTGGGAAAAGCCTGCGTCAAATCCCTGTGAACCTCAAATTTGCTCAGACAGAGTGATGCAAACAAAAAACAAGAAAAGCAGACGATACCAGGTGTTAGCGAGGACATGGAGCGATGCGAGCACTTGTCCGAGGCTGGTGGCCGTGGGAAGCAGGACAGCCACCCTGGAAAGCAATCTAGTGATCCTTGCTGTGTCCCTTGACCCAGGGATCCCAGCGAAATTCTTTCTCAAGTCCAAAGGGGACATAGACACGGATATTCATGGTGGCATCATTTGTGGGGACGGGGAGGTGGAGGCCAGAACAAATAAGTACAGTGTAACGGCTGCCCACAAGTGACACCAAGTTGGTAGCACTTTGGGTTGCAGCTACCTGGATAGAGCTTAGAGAGTGCCTATGGGGTGGGAGGAAGGAGCAGGATTAGGGTATGGAGTGGACAGTCACAAAGAAAGAGGGCCCGGAAACATAAGCATTCGGCAGGTGACAGACAGTTTGCTAAGCAGTCGCTCATGGAGTCCTTGAGGCAACTGTGTAAGTGCTGTCCCCATTTAATAGATGAGAAGACTGACACTTAGAGGAGAAATGACTTGTCCCAGGGCTTGCAGCTCACAGAGACAGAGCAGGGACTCAAGAAGGGGTGTGACATGGTGCAAACTGTCTCCCCATGGAGCCGCAGGGACCTGGGCCAGGATGCCAGCTCCACCGATCCCTGATTGGGGGCACTTGGGCGGGTCACCTCGCCTCACTGAGCCTCGGTTTCCCCATGTGGAAAATGAAGCCCCTGATGCCTTCCTCCTGGAGTTGTGATGAGAACAATGTGAGCGAAAGCTCTAGAGCTGCGGTCCCCAACCCCCGGCCGCAGACCAGGACCAAGTCGGTGGCCTGTTAGGACTGGGCCTCGCAGCGGGAGGTGAGCAGCCGCCCAGCACGCGAAGCTTCATCTGTATGTACAGCCGCTCCCCCTCGCTCCCATCTCCGCCTTAGAGCCGCCTCCTGTCCAATCAGCGGTGGCAGTAGATTCTCAAAGGAGCACAAACCCTACCATAGACTTTGCATGCGAGGGACATAGGTTGTGGCACCTTATGAGAACCTAATGCCTGATGGCCTGACGTGGAGCTGGGCCGGTGATGCTAGCGCCGGGGAGCAGCTTCAAATGTAATAAACGTAATGTGCCCGAATCATCCCCAAACCATCCCACGCCTGCCCCCCACCCCAGCCCTGGTCCGTGGAAAAATCGTCTTCCATGAAACTGGTCCTGGTGCCCAAAAGGTTGGGGACCGCTGTTCTAGAGCACCGTGCCTGGTGCCTGGCCCATCAGAGGTGCTCCTTGGAGGTAGCTGTGCCTAACATCAGAATACAGGCACTCTTGAAGCCAGGCTCAGTGGGAGAACGAAGGTCTGGGGCCCCCAGCGGGCTGGGCTGCCTGGCACTCAGCATCCTCTCCTTGTCTTCCTGCGCTGGGTCCCTGCCTCTGCCTGCTGCCACCTTCTCCTCTTTCTGGCCCCTTCCCAGCAAAGACAGGCATTGCTTCGGCACCCGGGCCCTGGACTCCTGGAGCAAGGTGTGCCTGGCCACCCTCCTGGACACCGACGTGTCCAACCCCATGGAGTATGACTTCAACTTCCAGCTGGAGATCCGGGGGCCATGTCTGCTCGCAGGTGGGTTGGAGCGGTCCAGGCAGGTCCGGGGCCAAAGAAGCCCCAGGGTGGCGAGGGTTTCAGGCCAAAACTGCCAGGAAGGGCGAGGAAGAGGAGGCAGGGGACTGGCCCAGATGGAAGACAAACTGAAGCTCACAGAGCTTTACAGAGACCGTTTCCCACTCCCCCAGCAAGCAGCCCAGAAATGAGCCCCTCCCTGGGACGGAGTTCAAGGCCATACACTGGGGAAACATCCATGGGGAAGGGTAGTCCCTGGTTCTCACCCTGTCTGCACATCAGAAGCACCTGGGGAGATTTCGAGCATCCTACAGCCTAAATCCCAACCCCAGGAGATGTTAGGGTGTTTGGGTCCTGAGTATGAAAACATTTAAAAGCTCCCCAGATGCTTCCAATGTGAGCCCAGAGCTGAGAACCATTGCTCCAAGCTCCCTCCCCAACCACTCAAGGTTTTAAAAGGACGCTAGACGAGGTTTCTTGCTGGCAAATGCTCTCCTAGAGCAACCTTGTGTTCCAACACGAGAGGTATTTGGGGAGCACACACCAGAAAAGCACCGGCTGATGGCATTAAGCTCTTCCTATCCGCTTGGTAACATGCTGGGTGCTTTGTGTGCCCTGTGAGGGCAACTCCTGTGACTCCTACTGCATCCTGAGGTCAGGGCAGAAAGGCACCATCAGACACCTTCCGTCTAAGCCCCCACTTTACAGATGGGGAAACTGAGGAGGCCTGTCCCTGGTCATATAGCAGGTTAGGTGTTCCAACAGGACTGGCAGGTCAGTGGTCTCCAGCGTGAGTCTCAGTGTCCCCCACCGAGCTCCTTTCTCCCCTGGGGCTCCTGAGCCTGCCCCCCCTTGCCTTTCTGTGCCACTCAGGTGTGGAGAGTCCCACCCACGAGATCCGTGCCGATGCGGCCCCATCTGCCTGCTCCGCCAAGAGCATCATCATCACCTTGGCCAACAAGCACACCTTCGACCGGCCCGTGGAGATCCTCATCCACCCCAGTGGTACGGCGCCCATGAGGGCCGCTGGGCTGCGCGTGGGAGGGAGGAGGTGCTGATCCCATGGCAACAGAACATGTCCCACCCCACCCCCACCCAGCAGCTAGCCAGGGCAAGGGGATGTCGGGAAGGGGAGACCAACTACCCACCTTCCGGGAAACTTGGCTTTTGCTGGTGGAATCAGTGTCTCTTGCTCTGAGCTCCAGAGGCCCAGGGTCTCTTCCATCCTTTGGGGCACTCTGCCCCCCAGCCAGATAAGCGGAGGATCTTTGAAACCCTAAGCTCAGCGAGCCCCTGGCAGCTCTGTACCCTCAAGGAGGCAACTCTTTTGTAACTTCAAGAATTCACAGAATGTTAGGACCTGAAAAGATCAGAGAGCCATTTAGCCCCGTCTTACTCCCATTTTACAGATGGGTAAAACTGAGGCCCAGAAAGAGGCAGTGAGTCACCCATGAATCCCCATCCTGCTACAGGCAGCCAAAGCTTCCACCTCCCTCCCCTGGCGAGGGGGACCCACGTCTGTGAAGATCTTGCCTCCAAACCAGGGCCCCCTGGCATACCCCTCTCACCCAGACAAGTGCTGAGGGTCGATCTCTTCTCTGCAGAGCCCCACATGCCACACATCCTGATGGAGAAAGGGGACATGACCATGGGAGAGTTTGAGCAGCACCTGAGGGGAAGAACGGATTTCATTAGAGGGATGAAGAAGGGCAGGAGTGCGGAGCGGAAGGTGAGGGCGACTCAGGTGGGCAGGTGATGGCGGGTTGCTGGGGCGGCTCTGAAACCTGGTCTCCACCGAACCAGTGGGAGACTGAGCCAGTGACGGGGAGGCCACCTGCCCAAGGTCACACAGCAAGGTGGCGGCAGAGCCCGGGCAAGAAGTGTGTTCTTCAGTGGGCTGGGACACCCCAGGGCACTTCCAGACGCCCAGTCCCCCTGGCTCTTTCTCCCGCCTCCTGCTGGGTCACTTTCTCCTTGCAGCTCCAAGGGGCCTTAAGCCAGGCAAAATTTGCAGCTGGTGGGAGCAATGGCCTTGACCTCCTCCAGGTTACTACACCTCCCAGGGGCACCCAGGACCCTTCAGCTGGGTGCCTTTCCAGCTCCCTCTCTCCCTCCTGGTCCTCCCTCCTCCCATCTGCTGCCGAATAGCCGCCTGCTCTTCCTGCCTCGGGAGTCCTTGCTTGCTAAGACATGAAGACAAGGACAGAGTGGGGAAACCCTGAGAAAGATCCCTTCCCCCTGCCCTCCCCCAGCCCACGGAGCTACAGGACAAGGAAGCCCTGGCAGGGGTGGGGTGGGGAATGGCAGGAGGCTGAGTGACAGCCACAGGCTGAACCCAGGGCTCTCCTTCCCCCACACAGCCCTGCACTCCTGGAGGAGTCCTGAATGCCAAGATGGGTTTAAGAGTGACGGCACACCTCTTTAAATTGGCCCCTTTTTAGATGAGAAAACTGAGGTTTAATGATAACCAGGGGGCTGGAGGAAGGGAGAGATTGTTATCTCAGGAGTTAGATTTGGTGACCAGGAGGCTAAGGAATGAGATACATCATGTGGGGGCAGTTAAGCGGGATTTCACAGCGCCCCCCCCATTCTCTGCTGGCCTAGTGGGCCCAGGGTATGGCAAGGGGAGAAGCAGAGAGGGAAGTGGGGCTAGCTTGCTGTCTGTTCTGTGTCCGTGGTTAGAGACCCCACTGGAAGCAACTCGTGGAGGGGGCAGGAGGGACGGCAAAGGGAGAGTGCGAGTGGCTCAGTGCCCATCACAGCCTCCCTGTGTTTAGAGACACTACTGAAATCACTTGAGCCGCCCCTCACCCAGATGAGTCAGCTGGGAGAAACAGCTGGAGCCAGGGTCTCAAGGTGGGGGGTGGCAATGCCAGGGGTCCCGCCGAGCTCCAAGACTTGCAGCATGTGGGCAAGGAGGGGGGGCCAATGGGCCTTCCAGGCCTGGGGCTGGCTGTCCTGCCTGCCAAGCCTTAAATCAATTAGCTCTGGGACTGCAGAAGCAAATGGGAATTAATTTGCCACCTTGGGTTGGTTATGCAAATAGCCAGCATTCTCATGAGCTCTGGGGATGACAGCGATCAACCCGCAGCTGCTAAGAAGTGATGAGTTTATTGTAATTGGATAATGGCAGCTTGAGGACACATCAGCGCATTCTGAGCCAGGGCACCCACCCCATCCCCCTGAGAGGCAGAATAAGGTTCCTGGAGGTGGCTCCACTCGCTGGCAGATGTGGCTGTTGCTGCCTTGGGCTCTGTCATCAAAGGAGCCAGGCCGGAGGGAGGGCAGGGTCCCTTGGCAGGGAGGAAGGCGGGTTGGGTGCAGCCGTCAATCAGGATGGGCGGGTGGGACGTGCTGTCAGGAACTGCGGTTAGCAAAGGGGGGACATAACAGAGAGGAGCACCCCATGTACAAGAGCAGAGCTGCAGCAGAAACAGAGAGTGGGGGACAGCCCAAAAGACGCAAAGGCAGGTCAATGGCAGACAGCAAGTCCCCACAGATTCATTTGCTCATTAATCGTTTAACAAACACTAAGTGCCCACGCGATGTCAGGCTCTGTTCTAGGCACTGGGGGACAACAGTCCTTGTCCTCATAGAGCTTGTATTCTAGAATGGGGAGACAGAAAGAAAACAACAAATGAGCCAGGTCTGCTTGGAGAGGGTGGATATGATGAGTGACAGGCGCTGGGCACTTTTAGCCAGTTTTGCCAACGTTTGTCTGCAAAGAGCCCCCACGAGAGCAGTGGGCAGAGACAGCACCCCTCGAGAGAGAGAACCAGAAATGGAATAATGGTGACCTGTTTGGAAAGCAGGAGGAGGGCTGGTGTGGTTGGACCATAGGGAGCAGAGTGGGTAGGGATGAGGGGGACAGGTGGGCACACAGGTAGGCAGTGGTCAGTCCAAAGGTGTAGCACGTGAGCATGAGCCACTGCTTAAGCAAGAGAACCGATGAGAATGATGCCCCGGCCGCTCTATGCAGAACGGACCGTGGGGAGATCAAAGTGGAAGAAAGAGGCCAGTGAGAGGCTATTGCAAGAGTCCAGCAGGAGGTGATCTCCTCTTGAATTTGGCTGGTGGCTGTGGGGACAGAGAGAAGAGGACGAGTCCAAGATGCATTTTAGCAGCGGGACTGACAATGCCCTGCTGCAGGCAGAGGTGTGTGGAGCGAGGGAAGGAGGAGAACCAAGGACAGCTGCCAGGTGTTTTGTTTGAACAACTGGGCGAGTGGTGGCGTCATCTATGAGATGGGGAAGGACCCCAAATCGAGGGAAACTGAGAAACAGACAGACACGTGTGCACACTGAGACGGTCAGATAAAGAGACAGAGACAGCCAGGGTGGAGGGAGAGAAAGCAGAGCGAGAATGGAGGAACTGAGATTCTGTGCATAGTGAGCGAAGAGTCAAGAAGGTTCTGCAGCAGCATGTGGCCTCAGGGCCAACTACAAAGCCACAAAGAAAGATAAAAACAGAAGCTCCATCCTCCCCTCAGTGTTCACCGCTCCGTTTCTGGACAGGGCCCTATGTTAAATCCTGGAGATGCACCAGGCATCTAAGGCACGACCTGCCTTCAAGCAGCACACAAGCTAGGGGGTGGCAGAGACTTGAGCAAAAAACTTCGTTCAGCATGAGCAGTGCCTGGGCACCCAGGGCAAGTGATGACAGCAGCAATGGTGGCCGCTGTTTAGAAATAAGCTCTGCCAGACGCAGATGTGGCATTTAATCCATACGACAACCTGGTGAGGTTTGTGTTCTTGTCCTCATTTTATGGATGAGGAAAATAAGTAATTAAGTCTACCTGGAAGACTAGGGAAGGCTTTCCAAACAGGCGAAATTTGAAGAATGAGTAGGAATTCATCAGTAAACCAGGAAAACCAAGTTCACAGCCAAGATGAGCCAGAGAGCAGCTTGCACACTGAGTGTAAAAGCAAAGGAGTCCTTTATTCAACTAAGCAGCCTCCCGGGCATGTGCTAGCTCAGGTCACCTCTCCACCACCCTGGGAAGTGAACGTTATTTGCCCCATTTTACAAATGACGAAAGAGACCCAGATGGGGGGACTTGCCCCATATCACACAGTTGGACAGTGACAGAGATGGGATTTGAACCCCGGTCTTTCTGCCTACAAAGTCCATGTTGCTGTTGCACTGTTGCAACCTGTCGAAGTCTAGCAAACAGAGGAGCTGCGTCAGCCTAGAGGTCTTTTGTGCAGAGCCTGAGTGGGATCTGGGTGACATGTGGTAAGTGACGGGGACCAGCGTGGTCCCCAGGAGTATCTCTGCACTCCCTGCTTGCCCATGTCAGAGAGTTTTCCTTTCTCCTCCAGACAGAAATCATCCGGAAACGCCTCCACAAGGACATTCCCCACCACTCCGTCATCATGCTCAACTTCTGCCCTGACCTCCAGTCAGTCCAGCCGAACCTGAGGAAGTCCCAGGGAGAGTTCATCTTCCTCATTGACAGGAGCAGCAGCATGAGCGGGAACAGCATCCACTGTGTCAAGGTACCTGCCAGGGGGACCCCTCCCCTGGCCCTGGCTCCAGGGTAGATCAGCTGTGCGCCCCAACCCCGCTTCTGCAGCACTTTCCGTTCCAAGAAACAACTTTTTAAAAAATCAGTTTAAACAGAGAAACCCAAACTTAATTCACTCCCCAAATAAAACCCTGAAGTGGTGTGAACAGAGGCAGAGCTATCGTCCATGTGCAAAGGATGAAGTCGTCCACAATTGTCCTTTACAGTCTACAAGCTTTTGCTGTGTGTCTGCTCTTGCTAAAACACCTGACTAGGCAGTGAGTGGAGGGGGATACACAGAAGGAAACTAATATTTGCTGAAGATGTACTAGGTGTCGGATACTACACTTAGCCACTTCATGCACAGCTTGGTATCTCAGACAATAATGCTATGAGGTTGGTCTTATTGTCACCATTTTCCAGTTGGGTAAACTGATCCTGAGCATTTCAGTCACCTCCCCAAGGTCACCCAGCTAGTATGGTCTAAGGATTAGACCCTTGTGTGTGTGACTGTCTCCACCACCTGACACTATAGAGTCACTGGACATGGCCCTTGTCACCAAATGTATAGAATCCAGTAGAAAAGACTTGGTCCCTCTTTTTTTCAAATGCTTAATGTGTGCAAAGCCCTGTGTTTGGCCACCTGGGAGAATAGCGGGATGTAAACACAGTTGCTGACCTCAAGGAGCTCATGGTCAAGTGAGGGCCACAGCCCTGCTAGGCACTCAGAATGCATGGAAGCTTGGCCTTCCTGCTAGGGAGAGCTGCTCAGGAGTATGGACAAAAGAGAGGTAAAACCCTCCCCCAACCCATCCAGAATCGTCTCACCCCGTGCCCCACCCCGAGATGATTTGGGTCTATTATGGCATTGTCCAATGCTTCCTGGAATTTTCAGTTGTGCAGATGTCTGTCTCCCCCTCTGGAGTTATGAACTCATTAAGGGAAAGGACTAAATCTTTTCATCTACCTTTCCTCGTGGGCCCCAGCTCTGTCCTGATGCATAAAAAGCCCTCTGTCTGTTTGTTGAACTGGGTGAAAGACCACAGTTTAAAGAGAACAAGGGATGAGGGAACATGAAAGAAGTGGGGCTCCACTGTCACCTGAAATTTCATCCCTCTCCTTAATTTGTTCCTGGAGAAAGCTCTTGTTTCCAGGGCAACAGGTTGAGCCAGGAGAGGAGGGTTAGGTGAGACCTGTGATGCCAGCTATCTTCTCAGGCTTGCTACCAATGGGTTTTGTCTTGAGGTATGACGGAGGAGCCATACATGAGACCCAGGTTCTTGTGTGAGGTCTCTAGACATTGCTATGCAGGGCTGACTGGTACCTTCTCCCCACCCTGCCGGCCATCAAAGGCAAGAATTAGAACAGGGAGCTGTCCACGTGCTGGAGTGCTGAAGCAGGCTCGGGTCTCTGTGGCCATGTGTATTGCACTCCACAGCCAGATCAATTCATGTGTCCTCAGTTACCTGACAGCACCATGGGATCGTGAACCTACACCATCCCTTAGGGAGCATTTAATGCATTTTCCGGGTAAAGAAATTGAGTTCCTGAGAGGCTAAGCCTTCCCCAGCATCACAGGGCTGATGAGAGAGACTAAGCCTTCCGTATCTTGCTTCGGTCCTCATTTTCTTTACATTGCTTATGAGGAATTATATATATTCTTCCACTAAGAAAAGCTCTCTTCTCTGATTTTGTCATTTCTGCTGCATGGCATCGTACAAAGAGCAACATCTGGGTTCCAGGATCGATTCTGCCACTGACTTTCTATGTGGCTGTGGACAAGTTGAATCTTTTTTAAAAAATTTATTTCAGCATATTATGGGGGTACAAATGTTAAGGTTACGTATATTGCCCATGCCCCTCCTCCCCCCTCAAGTCAGAGCTTCAAGCGTGACCATCCCCCAAAGGATAAGTTGAATCTTAACTCCAGGCTTCATTTGTCCTTTATTTAAAATGAGAAGGAAGGATTATTTCAGGCAGGGCAAACATATGTCCCATCTCCCTCTGCTCCCCTCTCCCAAGCCCAAGCAGGCATCGATAACTGATCATGACATGCTTCTCCATGCAGAGCCTGGACTCAGTTTCTAGCTTTCTTGTTCCAGTGTCAGAGGCATTTACTACCAGTTAAACAGAGTTGGCTTATGAGTGGAAATCCACTTCCTACTAAACCCCTTTCGAGCCTTTGTATTCCAGAATTCTCTGATGATAACTTTCTCTGGCTCTCCTCTCAGTCCCCTTGAAGCCTCTCCTGCTCTTCTCCCGTTAAGGTCACTGAGCTTCACAAGGTCATTCCTCCATAAATGGCTTTGCACCGGGGCAATCCATTCTGCTAAACACGACCCTATTAGAGAAAGGCACAGAAATCACTCAGGCCACACAGCCCCCTCCCCACTAACAATGAAGCCACTGGAGGTTGCTTGGGTCCTTGATTACGACCCACTGGGTGGAAGTTTTAGGAAAAATTAGGCTCAGTGAGGAGGGAGAGACTAGGAATCCAAACAGCACATGCCAAAGGGGGAAAGTTCAGCCAATTTAATTTCCTGCAGCTGGTCTCATTCTTCAGCTGCCACTCGCTGCCAAAAACATGGCTTTAAAAATTCTAATAGGTGTGAGCAGAGATAATCTGTTTGAATCAGCACAGTCTCCTGCAAGCAGGAATATATGCATTAGTGGCTAATGAAAAAATAAGCAGATATTGACTTCTTTTGTAGAGAAACTAAATGTATCAACACCAGCAATGAGTAGAGGCAGAGAGAACGTTAACGTTACGGTTTAATGTTAATGTTCGCAGAGAGGGGTGGGAGAGGGGTGCTGGTATGTGGATCCTAGAAGGCTGTATGGTGTGGAAGTTGCCAGAAGCCATTTACAGCTGTTTCTTCCTATTTTGTTTCCCTGAAGCCATGCTCTGATCCCTGCAGGACCATCAATAAATGATATGGGGGTTAGGGGGAGACCTTCATTCCTCTGCCATGGCAGAGCCGACATGACTAGAGATCTCAGAGCTACGTTTTGAAAGCCTCAGTCATTAGTCTTGGGTTTTGTGATCCAGGGCGATTTCTTTAACTCTCCTGAGCCTCAGTTTCCTCACCTGTAAAATTGGGGTGTTAATATTAATGTGTCTCATTAGATTGGTAATAATAAGCATTTACTGAGTGCTTACTATGTGCCAGGCTGAGGCTCAGAGGGGTGACATCCCTAGCCCAATGTCAAGTTAGTAATGGTATGGGTAGTATTGTACATTTAACTTCAAAGCGTATCTTCTTAACCACTATGCTATAACACAAGTTATAAAGAGTAAATGAGATAACTGATATAAAGTGTCTAGAACAATGCTTGGCACATAGAAATTGCTTGATATTTATCATTGCCTTGTATCGGCTTTATGATAATTTTTGCTCTACCATCACCTCCACCTCCCTCATTGTTATTATTTTTTCAATATAGCTTTGTCAAGATCTTCCGGCAATACACAGTTACATAGGTTAAGACTTTTTAATACTCACAGACTTTGGAGGCAAATGTGTTTGAGTCCTGACTCCACTATTCATTGTCTGGATACTCACCAACAAGTCACTGCCCCTCTCTGTGCCTCAGTCTTCTCTTCTGTAAAGTGGGGGTGATAGTGTGCCTTCCTCAAAGGGCTACTGTGAAGGTTAGTGAGGGAATGCATGTAAAATACATCCTATGCACTCGACACATGTGATCCAAAGAGACTGTCCCTTAGGACTTGTCCCTAGTAAATGGCATCTAGGTTGAGTCTGATGCAGAAGGCTCTGGGGGAAGTCCACAAGCCGCCCACAGGAGTGTGACCTGGACCAGGCCACCTTCTTCCCTTAGATGTCAATTTTGCTTTGGAAGAAGGGAGTGGGTACCCCATGTCCTCCACATCTCAGGGCCAGCAAGCAGTGACATGTAACTGACCAGCCATATGAGAATGGCTTTGAGAAGTCAGACCTGCTGCTTGGCTGGGATGTTTCATGAGGATGGCTTCGGTCCAGCCTTGCTCAGCCTCAGCACGTTTCTCGATGTGAAGGGAAGGAGGTGTCGGGTGCACACGGAGGGGCGAAAGGCCTGTCTGGAGGCTGCTCCTGGGCTGGGGAGGGGACGCTGGTGCGTGGTGGCAGAGTGGCCATAACTCCTCCCTGAATCCTGAAAAATCCCTTTCTCCTCTGCCAGGATGCCATGCTGGTGGCTCTTAAGAGCCTCATGCCATCCTGCCTCTTCAATGTCATCGGATTTGGATCCACATTTAAGACCCTCTTTTCTTCCAGCCAGATCTACAGTGAGGTAAGGCGGCAAGGCCGGGACCAGGAGGGTGGCGGGAGTTGGGGGACAGAAGAAAGGAGGGAAAAGGCAAGAAGAGGCAACCCTGGGGCTGGCCTCAGAAGCTGCCCGCCCGCAGAGAGCCCAGAACACACCCGGGGTAGAGAAGTAAAGGGAAGCTATGTATGTTTCTGCAGTGCGCTCACATCTCAGCCTCCTGACACCCCCCCTCCAAAATAAAACAATATTTTGGGCAAAGTCGGTGTGTGCGCAGAGATGGGGTACAGAGAGAGGACATGGCCTAGGCCTGCCACTCACTGAAGCCCGTCTCACCAGCACAAGGGGTCCACACAGGCTGAGCTGAGGCAGTGAATGGTCAGGGGTGGGAGTGAACAGGTTCTGAGCAGGTTTGGAAGTGGGTAGGAACAGTACTCACCAGACTCAACTACAGCGTGAAGCCAGAGGGCTGTGGCCCCGCAGCACGTTCAAAATTGGAGCACCTTCCCAAATATAAGAAGAGGGAGGGAGGAAGGAGGGGAGAGAGGGAGGGAAGGCAGACATATGGGACCCTTTTCAACTAAAAGTAATTTTATGAGTTTTTCAAATACATGAATAATACATGCTGTGTGCACCTGTAGTCCCAGCTACTTGGGAGGCTGGACTTGAGAATCACTGGGCAACATAATAAAGCCTCATCTCTTAAGAAAAAAAAATTTTTTTTGAGACAGGGTCTTGCTCTGTCATATAGGCTAGAGTGCAGTGGTACAGCCATAGCTCACTGCAGCCTCAAACTCCTGGGCTCAAGTGATCTTCCTGCTCAGATCTTCCTGCTCAGTCCTGTGGTAGCTGGGACTACAGGTGCATGCTCCCACACCCAGCTAATTTTTTTTTTTTTTAGAGATGGGGTCTCACCATGTTGCCCAGGCTGGTCTCAAACTCCATACCTCAAGCGATACTCCCACCTCTCCCTCCCAAAGTGCTGGGATTACAGACATGAGCCACTGCACCTGGCCTAAAAAAATTTTTTTGTTAAGAATAATATATATTGATTGTCCCATATTTTTAAATCTAGATAACCAAAAAGAATTTTTTTTTAAATCTCACATGATTACATCCGTCAGAAAAAAAAAGGGAAAGACACCGTTAAGAGCTTGGTATAAATCCCTCCAGAACTTGTTCTATGCATTTACACACATCTTCAATAAAAATAGGATTAAGCCTTCCACACTGCGCTGTAACCTACTTTTCTAACATAACAGTCTATCATGAACGTCCTTCCATGCCAGTAACTACTAATCTGTAACATAATTTTAATGGTTGCTTAGTATTTCACTACACAGATAGATTGGGGCTTATTTAACAAAACAGTCAGGCATTTGAGTTGTTTCCATTTTTTTTTCTGATTTGTCATCTTTGTAGCATCTTTAATTATTCCCTTGGGATTAGTTCCTAGCCTTGCTGGTTCAAAAGCTACATATGCATCTAAAGACTTTTGATCTACCCGGTGACTTTTAAGTCCCCTCCAAGTGCGAATGTTGAAAGAGCCTGTTTCCGAGCCAGCAGCAGCAGGTCACTGCATCCAGTGGGAATCTACTCTTGCCGAGTGACATCCACCTGGTGCCAACAGTCCTTGGCCAGTTGGGCTCCACGGAGTTGGTCCAGGAGGGAGGAAATCTGAATCCCAGATTAGGAAAATGCTGTCCCCAGAGAATCACAGGGAGCTGGTGCCAGAGTCAGGGGCAGGACTCTTCAAATTCCTAGCCCTGTGTCCTCCCCACCCCACTCCCTGCCTCCCTCATCAGAAACGGAAACCTCATTTGTGCTGAGAAAGTAGGGACTTAACATGCTGCCCTTTTCTAGGGGTGTTTATGTTTTTAAAGAGGAACCCAGAGGGTTCATTAAGTCAGTAGACCCCAAATGGCAGTGATTCCAGCATTGGTAGGGGTATTTGGGGGCAAGATTTCATCAAATAAGTGGCCACCTATTCTTGCTGTGGATGGGGCAGGGATGACACATTGGGAGCATAAGTCAACTCCAGCAGCTGAACAAAGATCTAGGGAAACTAAGGGCTCATCGTCTGGTGGCTGAGAGTCTCGGTGTCATACGGTGACCCTGGGCACCATCTGCCCTGCCTGTCATTCTTCCCTGCAGGAGAGCTTGGCCATGGCCTGTGACAACATCCAGAGGATGCGGGCTGACATGGGCGGCACCAACATCCTCTCCCCTCTCAAGTGGATCATCCGGCAGCCCGTGCACCAAGGCCACCCGCGGCTGGTCTTCCTGATCACGGACGGCGCCGTCAACAACACGGGGAAGGTGCTGGAGCTGGCGCGAAACCACGCCTTCTCCACCAGGTCGGCCCAGGCGGGGGTCTGGGCTTAGTAACCCTGGGGCTGGGGGCACCAGAGCCAGAGCAACAGTGCAAAGTGCCAGAGGGAGAGGACAGGACCCACAACTCCCGTAGCGCTTTGCTTCTAGGATGGTGTAGGCTGAGTTCAGAGTTCACCTTTTCCCCCTCGGAAGTTCAGAGGGCCGAGCAGCCCACACCTCTGTGCCGGCTCCCATAGAGCAGCCCGGGAAGAGGCAGCTTGGACTCCACGCTGGGGGAGTTGTGGGTGGTCTGTGTATATATGTGAGTGGCCTTCCTCCTTCTTCCTCGTCCTCTGCCTAAAGACAGGGCCAGCTCCGAGGTAGCTCTGCTGGATCACTCTCTGTCCCTTCTCCCCTGGGGGCAAAGATGCAGAGAGGGTGGGAAGTGCAGCCTCTCTCCTCCCCTTCCCCCAGGTACTATAGCTTTGGAATTGGACCCAACGTCTGCCACAGACTGGTGAAAGGGTTGGCATCTGTGTCCAAGGGCAATGCTGAGTTCCTGGTGGAGGGGGAGCGGCTGCAACCCAAGGTAGGTGCAGGGCCCCCCAATCTCTTCTGGTACTGGATCCTCAAAGGCCCAGATCTGCCCTATGGCACCTCAGTAGTGGAGCTGGGATTTCACCCCATATCTGAGCTCTTCTCTGAGCCACGCTGCACCCCAGTGAGAACCAGAGAAGCGGAGACCACCGAGCAGGCAACTCTTGGAGTCATTCCAGGATGCTAGGTGCCCTGACCCCAGCCACTGGGTCACACGCTCCATCCACTGGCCAGACAGGATTGAGGCCCTTTAAGGATTAATCGCCTGTATAGACATGGAGCCGTGTTTGGGGTCATTCCTGGCCACATTTCTGATGATGACAAATGGAGGCTCAGAAGAATCTAAAGTGTCCAGAAATAAAGGAGACTGTAGTCTTCCTTCCATTTCCTGCACATTTGGCACAAATAATCCAACCCTTAGGAAACCCCTTTGTCAGTCCGGGAAGCAGGCAGAGCTGGGGTTAGGAGTGAAGAGGTCTATTGAGAATTGTGTCTGTAAAAGACAGAAGAGGAGGTAGCAGGAAGGAAAGCTCTTGAGGCCCGAGGTGGTCCAACACCTGGGAAAGGAAAAGGAGGCGTGCAGCACTTGGCAGGGAAAGCTGGGACTGTGATGCCCCACTCGGGCAAGGTCTCAGCCAACCCAGCATGGAGCTGCGGAGCAAGGATTGCCCGCTAGAGAGTCTGCACTGGGCTGAAATGGCCAGGGCCAGTGTCCCCGCTTGCTGAGTCATTGGCTTGGGGATTTCAGGGAGAGGTGTGGTCGTGGCTCAAAAGCCAGGACACTGCATCTGGAAGCTGTCACCAAACTGCATTTCTTGCAGCAAAAAGGCATGGTCTTTCCTGAAGGAAGATTTGAGAGCTCACCTCTATGACTGCCTCAATCCCCAGATCATTTTTTCCAGATTTGCAGTTTAGGGTGCCTAAAGAAATCAGCCTAAGTGATGCTAAACCATGGCTGCCATTCACTGAAAACCAACTGCATGGCAGATTCTTCAAATCCAGTATCTCAGATAATCCTCCAGCTATATGCTCCCACTTTAACAAAAGGGGAAACTGAGGCCCAGAGAGGCAAATTAACTTTCTTGAGATCATTATCCGGTCCGTGCTTTGACACAAACCTTCTGTGTACCCTCCCTTGGGCTAATTACAGCCTTACTTTGAGCCTCAGATTTTCTCATTTATAAAATGATAAGCTTAGGAAAGATGACAGCAAGGATCCTTTCCAACTCCGACATCCTAGGAGTCTAAGAAGCTCAGAGGCTGCTGGGCAAGCCACCCAAGGCCTGTTGTCCCTTCCTCCCTGCTCACACCCCCTCACAAGTTCACACTTGCATAGTCTTCACACTACTCGCATGTTCACACAACCCTCCCCACAAACTGTGTTCTGACCCTGCCCAACAGATGGTCAAGTCCTTGAAGAAGGCCATGGCCCCAGTGCTGAGCGACGTGACTGTGGAGTGGATCTTCCCTGAGACAACTGAGGTCCTGATCTCACCTGTCAGCACCAGCTCCCTCTTCCCTGGAGAACGGTTGGTGGGGTATGGCATTGTGTGTGATGCCTCCTTGTACGTCTCCAGTCCCAGATCTGTAAGTATCCTAGAAATTCCAGGGGCCAATGGGGTTCTAGAACCCAAGCCCACAAACCATCCTTCGCTGGAAAGACTATTCATGCAGCTAGGAACTAGTTAGAACTGGGTTTAGAGTTGTGGGTATAGTTTATCCAGTTGTGGGTTTACAGTTGCCAGGCCATGGGCATTCAGTATTGGTGACCCTGGTTAGGTAGATGCCACCATCTCAAAGTGTGATTCTCAAGAGCCTCTGCAGTAGAACCAATTGCAAAACTCGTTTAAAATGCAGAGCCCTAGCCCCAACCCATCTCTACTGAATAAGGGTCCCCGAGGGTAAGTCCCATAAATCTGCATTGTTCATAATCTCCCCTAGGTGATATGATGCACACTTCGGTTCCAGAACAACTGCACACAGGTTGCTTTCCCCAAACACTCTAGTCAGCTCATATCTCCTTAGATGAGTTTGCGTTTTATTTATTTACGTGGATAATTCCTTTACATGTGGTGGCAGAAGTGGGATAAAGGCAAAGAATTCCTCAAAGGGAGGTGGAAGGCATGCTAAAAGGCGGGCGATTGCCTAAGAGGCTGTTTCCTCATCCATCTTCCCTCTTTAGTGAGTCTCCCCACTCCCACTTAAAGGATATCGCATCTTGTTTTGTTTTTTAAAAAGAGTCTCAAACTCAATGCCTAGAGGGATTAAGCAGGTATGAAATGAGTGAAATGGACTTGGTGTAAAAATAAAAGGGGCAAGTGCCATGTTAGTTAGATAGCAGTTGTCAATGAGCTCGTAGTTGGAGAGGCAATAAGGAGTGGTGAGGAATATGGCAAACCGCAAAGCACAGACACTCTGTAAATTGGGCAGCCCCTACCCAGCTCTAACAAACTGTTGCCATGCAGGAACGTGGGCCCTGTGTTAAATGTGTTTCCAATTTTTGAAGAGGAATTGGAACTTTATGTGAAATTTCCAGATGTTTGAATGTTACAGAATTTCTTAAGAACCATGATCAGGGTAACGGTTACTGTGTTACAGAGAGCAGAGTGTTCAACTGCAGGGACAAAAATCTGAACAAAATGCTGGCCCAATTTTTACACAGCCCGGGCCCTCCTGGGAGGTCTGGAAGGCACCAGCTCATCAACAGACCTACCGCCAGAAGGGACTCAGCAAATCACCAAATCCATTCTCCTTTTCTTACCTGAGCGTAGCCAAGTCTTCCCTCCTCCTGGTAGGGGTATTGGGGAAAGAGGGCCTTCATATGCTCTTGGTGTAAGTATAACTTGCCACAGCCCTCTGCAATGCAATCTAACGAAATTAGAAATACATAAACGTTTCAACCCAGAAATCCCACTCCTAGAAATCTAACCCATCGAAATGAAAGTGATGACTGATACACTAAAGCCCCGACTTAAGCATTATGCAAGGTATCCATGTAACAAAAACATTTGCACCCCCTTAATATTTTGAAATAAAAAAACACAAACAAAAAAGTAATAAAAGTGATGCCATGCGTTCATGTCCAAGGACTTACTGTAGCATTTTTTATAGTGGCAAAAATAAGTGGCCATAAAGTGAATGCTTAACAACAAGGGACGATGGAATATTATGCAGTTGAATGTTAAAGATAATGGTTGGAAAAGAATTTCCAAAAGATTTTAAATGCAAAACTCAAGATACCAATAAATGTAAGTAGTATGGTCCACTTTTTATAAAACAAAGACCACCAAAAGACATGTGATATATATATATATATATATATCGTGGAGAAAGGAAGAAAAAAAAACAGATGGCTCATTTTGTTATTTATAATTTGGGCTATTTGGAGACAGGAGTGGCATTTAGAATTACATTATTTTTAAAAGCTTTTAAAGAATGAGGTCAATAATAGAAAATATAAACAACATGAGTGATATGAAAAGATAATTCCATTTACCGTCTTTTGAAAGGAACTTTTCCAAAATTCCCTAGGCAAACAAACAGCTTTCCTAGTCTGCAGGTTCTTCTGAGATGGAACCTCCGCCACCTGTGTTCACACCCCTTGCTGTCCCGAGAAGTCCTTCCTGGCACCCAGCCTTATTCCTGGCCCTCTTTCCTCTCCCTCCCTCCAGGACAAGAGGCGACGCTACAGCATGCAGCACTCTCAGGAGTCCAGCAGCTCCGTCTTCTACCACTCTCAGGATGAGGGACTTGGGCCGGACAGTGGAGACTGTGCCAAGAACTTGGAAGCACCCTTCAACTTGGGGCAGGCCAAAGATGCCCGGCCAGTCAGTAGAGACTCCATCACCACTCCTGGTTGGTCTGCTGCTCTTTCTGCAGGGAAACCATAATGATTACTACCTTATATTGAGCACTTGCTACATGCTAAGCTCTTTTTAAAACCATCTCATTGGCCAGTTAGCTGCTATAGAGGTGGAGACTGTTATACTCATTTCACAGATGAGGAAACTGAGGCTTAGAGAATTTAAGCAACTTGGCTAAGGTCATAGAGCTCAAAAGAGGTACAGTGCAGATTAAGAGTCTGGACCTATCTGACTACAAAGCGTCTTTATGCTGTTAGTTTCCATTCAAAGGGTATTTATTGATTTCCCACTAAGGATAGGGACTGAGCGCACAATGTGGAAAGCAAAGATGACTCAAACATATCACCTGGCCTAAAGAGCTCTCCATCTAGTGACAGAGAGATGCCTGGCCCTAACTCTGATAGAAAGCAGAGTGACAGCGGCCACTGGAAAATGCAACAGACGTGGAGATCCCAGGAGAGACAAGTACAGCCACTAGAGCAGTGGTCCCCAACCTTTTTAGCACCAGGGACCAGTTTCATGGAAGACAGTTTTTCCATGGACCAGGGTGGGGGAGGATGGTTTCAGGATGATTCCAGTACATTACATTTATTGTGCAGTCAGACCTCTCTGCTAATGATAATCTGTATTTGCAGCTGCTCCCCAGTGCTCGCATCACTGCCCCAGCTCCACCTCGGATCATCAGGCATTAGAGCCTCACAAGGAGCCTCAACCTAGATCCCTCGCATGCGCAGTTCACAGCAGGGTTCAGGCTCCCATGAGAATCTAATGCCGCCAATAATCTGACAGGAGGCGGAGCTTATGCAGTGATGCGAGCGATGAGGAGCAGCTATAAATACAGATGAAGCTTCTCTCCCTCGCCCACCACTCACCTCCTGCTGTGCAGCCCAGTTCCTAACAGGCCACAGACCAGTACCAGTCCATGGCCCAGGGGTTGGGGACTGTAGAACTAGAGGACATAAACAAAGACTTAACAAGGGGTCACGTTCTTAGAAGTAAGAATAGAGAGGAGGGTCCAGGCAGCAGGAACTGCCTGAGCAAAGGTGTGGAGGTGTGCCCCTTAGAAAGCACGTATATGATACAGCTGTTGCTCATCTAGTGTGTTTGCAGCACATTGTTCATTTAAAAGGGAGCAGAAGGGAGAGTATCTGGGAGATCGATCAGGGCCAGATCAGGCAAGGCTGTGGAGGCCCGGTGAGGCACCTGCTCATGGGCAAGCAGGAAAGAAGCATGCAAGCCCCTCTCTTTCCCCTCTGTCCCACCCCCATGGTTCCCCTATCTCTACCTCTGTCCAGATCTGCACTCCTCCCGGCGACGGAGGGCGTACAGCACCAACCAGGTCACCAACCACAACAAGCCCTGCCCAAGGGCCACCATGGCCAGCTACCCCACGGTGGCTGCCAGAAGATACCCGCTGCGGAAAGCCAGGCTGCAGGACCTCACCAACCAGACCAGCCCGGACGTGCAGCGGTGGCAGCCCGATTTGCAGGTACCCGAGCAGGGCAGGTTGGGCGGGAGCTGGGGGAGGCCACGGGCTGGGAGAGCTGAGTCTCCTGCTTCAGCCACAGGACGGGCCTGCGCACAGCTTAGCTGCTGAGTGAGCCTCTGCTCTTCACTTTTCTGGGCCTTCATCTGCCTCACCCCCCGACGACACCTTGCTAATCATGACACCCACTAGGCAGCGAGCTCACTCATTCCCAGCACACAGCACGTCCCAGCTGACAAGGAGCATCTACTCTCAGTTGATTTTGCAGTACCCCCAGGAGAGGAGAGAGTCTGGGGGCCAGCCACCCTGACTTGGTGGAAACTGAGGGCCAGAGAGGTAAAGTGGCTTATCCAGGGTCACACAGCCAGTCAGGGGACTGCAACCCAGGACACTCTCTCTTCAAAAAGCCCTGGCTTCCTCCTCTATCACACTGCACCTCCGACAAGCCCCAGGGGTTGCACATTTCCCTAGGGCAGAGAGAATTTCAGAGGGAGAGAGTGCCACCCACTGTCGTGCTAGACCAGGGTCTCTCAGCCTCAGCTCTATTGACATAGTCATTCTTTGTTATGGGGGTAGGGGTGTCCTGTGCATTTTAGAATGTTTGGCAATGTCCCTGGGCTCTGCCCACTCGAAGCCAGTGTCATGACACCTCCAGTCATGACAACAAAACATGTCTACAGACACCACCAAATAGCCTGGGGTGGGGGAGGGGAATGACCTGGCTGAGAACCACTGTCCTAAACCAAATTGTGGTTTAACCCATTTTCTTAAGAATGGGTTTATGCGGATTTGTCATTATAAGTCTGTGGTTCCATGAAAGCACCTTTTTCCCTCTCCCCTGGCTATGCCCCTTCACACTCCCAGCCACCTCCCCCACCCTCCCTGCTTCCTTCCACATACGCATAGGCCCAGTCCCCAAGGGCAAGGCCACTGCCACCTTGTCCCTGAGGGCCCTTCTCTGTGCTCAGCAGGGACCACTTGGTGCAACCGGAAGGCCTTGGCCTTGCAGCCAGGCTGAGTCTGCTCTTCAAACATGTCACTCAACTTTCTGAGCCCCAACTGCCCCACCTACGCAATGGGGAGGATAGCTTATGAGATGATGGAGCTGCCCTCCCTCCACAGATATTTATTGGGAGCCAACTCTAAGTGGAGGACTCTTCCAGGCGTTGGCTGATAAGAGATGAAGTGCCTGGCCCAGCACCTGGTGCACAGTAGGTGTCCTTTGGTGGCAGCTCTACTTGGTGGGAGCTCTGGGCAGGCTGGCCCCCTTTACTTCTCTCCTGCGTGTTCCTCAGCTCTTCAGACCCATCCCCGCTCACTTATTGCCCTCTCTTCTGCCTGGCTTTTCCCCCAATCTGATGCTCCCCAACACATTTGCACACAAAACACACACACACACACACACACACACACACACACACACAAGTACACACACTCTGTCTCTCTCTCCCTACAGCCTCTGGCTGGGTAAAGGGCTGGCTGGAGCTTAGACACATCTGTTGCCATGGAAACCTTAGCAGCTTCAGTTTCTCTCTCTGACCCGGTGTGGTGGTGATGGTGTGGTAGGAATGGGGGAGCCTTACTCTTTGATTGGGGTGGGGGGTGTTACGGATCCAGCAGCAGCCCTGGCTGGGTACCAACGCTCACTGAGGCCATCCTGGGAGTGACGGTCCCCCTTTTCTCCCACATCCTTGCACAACCCCTAGGACCTCTGATCTAAGAGGTAGGGGAGGCACGTCCCCTCTCCCAACAAATACTCGATAGGGATGAAAAAGCCTCCATGGTTAACTGGTGGCCTGAAAAATTCCACCTAGTAAGGCCTCATTCCCTCCCCCTCATCCCCTCCCCCTACCAGGGTATGTGTGTGGTCCCAGAGGCTTGAGATTCATTTTTAACTAACTTAACAGTCTTCAATTACAAAAGTAAGAACTACTCAGAGTTTGAAATAAAAACCAACCTTCAGTTGGGTATAAAGTGCAAATAAAAGTCCTCCTTCCCATGCCCAGATTCACTTGGTTTTGAGTGTTCTCTTCCAGAAATACTACACACACACAGAAATACGCACACATACACAACACACAGATATATTTTAATAATCGCATATACAAACTGCTCTCCAACTTACTTTTCAAATGTCTTTTTAATTCACTTTTTTATTTATAGTAAAACTACTTTTTTGTTGAACAGTTCTATGAGATCTGACAAATGCATATAGTCATGTATTTACCACAATTAAGATATAGAACAGTCACAATTTACTTTTTAAAAATAAGTTTTATCTTGGACATTTGGAAGTTTTATCTTCCCATTTGATGTGAAGAAATCTATCTTTCTTTTCAGCGTTGTGTGGTGTTCTACTGCATGGATGTACCATAGCTTATTTGTCAACATCTACTGATAGATACTTACATAGTTTCCAGATTTTTGCAAATAATACTGTAAACTTATATACGGTACTTGCATATAGATATTTGCACCATTGTGTATTTCCATAGGATCCAATTCCAAAAAGTGGCATTGCAGGATCAAATGGGTTTGTGCATTTTAATTGTTACTAGATAGCACATTGCTAAATTGTTGTCCCACAAATGTGTACCAGTTTTACACTCCCACTGATAACCCACAAGAAATTCTGTCTCCCCATTGGGCACACTGAGTGTCATCAAAATTTTAAGTATTTGCCAATCTGTAAGATAAAAAAAACCATAACTTGTTTTAATTTACATTGCTCAAATTTTTTGTGAGGCTGAGCATGTTTTCATGAGTTTATGGGATACTTTTGCTATAAACTGCCTCCAAATGCCCTTAACCCATTGTTCTACTAAGTGTATCTTTTACCCTCAGTGATTTGTGAAAGCATTTTCTTGAAAATGATCTTTGTCATGCATGTTGCTAATACATTTTTCAGTTTATCCCTTGCCTTTTGGTGTCTGTTTGTACCAGCACAAGAATAGATAAAATCAACAAAAGAGGAAGTCCATAAATATAACCAAATGTACATGAAAGTTTTGTTGGGATAAAAGTGGGAAACCAAGAAACTGTAGGGAATCAATGGATAAACTGCATTTGGAAAATCAAGGAAAAGCTCGTTCCTATCTCCTTACACCAAAATAAATTTCATGTGAATCAAAGATTTAAACACACAAACAAAAATGAAATTACAAAAATTCTAGAATATTTTTTGCATGAGAAAGACCTTTTAAGCATGACATATGGAAAGACATAAGGAAAAAGGTTGATAATTTTAACCACACACAAAAAAAGTTTTAAACTTTATAGCAAAAAAACCCACAAAAAAACCAAAAAAGCAGGTTTATTCTATAATCCATGGTGTGTGATTTTCCATGGTTTTCCGTGGTTTGGGGTTTATCCATGGTTTGAGATTACTCTCGCTGATGTTTCTCATGGGCAACGGAGACTGGGTCAGGTGCCCCTGGGCTCTGGAGGGGCAGTGCCCAGGAGGAAAGAGCTGTGGCAGGGGCAGGAGGAAGGAGGGTCCAAACACCAGGGCTCTCCTCTTCCATCCCTAGCCCTTGCTGAACGGTGGCCAGGACCTGAGCAAGGGACCCAAACTCCGAGGCCCAGGGGCCCGCAGGCCCTCTCTGCTTCCCCAAGGCTGCCAGCTCTTCCAACCCTCGGGCCAGGAGTCCCTGGTCTGGAGCCCCATGAGGGAGCTGGACCCCGGGTCCAGCCCGAAGCCTGCCTCAGACAGCCGCAGCCCTGTGAACCTGGGTAAGTGACCGCAGGGTCAGGGAGGAATCCTTGGTTGTGGCCGACTTCAGATGACAGGCCCAGAGGTAAAAGCCTGTGTCTGCGTCCTTGGGGGTCTGCTGTGGCCCACCCCTCCCTGAGGACCTGGCCAATCCAGCTTCCCCAGTCACCTCCCAGCCCTTGAGTGGCCTGTGAGGCTGCAGCTCCATCCTGCTGCCCAAGTTCATCCCAACCTATCTGGCTCCCTCAGGTACTGGCTTCCTGGGAGGTGGCTCTGCCCCTCTCTTGGGGACAAGCCCATGCCACCCCAGCTGTCCTAAGAAAGGAGTCGTCTGTTCCCCGGGGAGGAAGAGGGGACTGTACTTGCTTAGGGGTGTCTGTCCCCAGGTCAGCGCCCGGCCCCCTCGCCTCCGCCCGCAGAGCCGTCCTGTCACCCCTCCGCCTTCGAGACCGAGACGTCCTCGGACTGGGAGCCCCTGGCCGAGGCCGAGGAGTGGGCCAGCCCCGGCAGGCCCGCCACGCCAGGCCCGGTGCTGGGCAAGGCGCTGGTCAGAGGCCTGCGCGACAGCCAACCCGTGCAGTGGGAGGTGAGCTTCGAGCTGGGGCCCCCCGGCCCCGAGCGGCGCGACGCCGACCTGTGGAGCGAGACCTTCCACCACCTGGCGGCCCGCGCCATCATCCGCGACTTCGAGCAGCTGGCGGAACGCGAGGACGACATCGAGCAAGGTGAGCGCCACGGCCCGCGCCCCGCACCCTCCCCTCGGGCGGCTCGGGACGCCCCTCCCCACAGCCCCGCCCCGTCCCCGCCCACTTGCCCTAGACCCCGCCCCCTCCCCGTTCGCTCAGCGCCCCAGCTCAGTCCTCACCCTGACCCCTCGCCTGGCTCCAGCCACCTGCCACGGCCCCTGCTCCACCCACTCCCGCTGCCTGCAGGTGCCGCCCCTCCCCCCACCCACAGCCTGGTGCCCCTTTTCTGCAGTCGGGCCCCCCCTCCACCCTTTCCGCCCGCACCCGGAGATCTGTTCTTGCCTCCTTCCCCTCTCCCATGGGCCCCCCACTCCCCTCACTCCCCAACCTTCTCCCCTGTAGCGCCCCTGTAGTGCTTCGGAGATAGAATAAGGGCGACAGCCCAACCCCCCTCCCATCCGTCCCCTCACTCATCAATGCCTTCTACTCATTGGGACCAGCCGGGGGGCCAGGCCCGTGCTGGGCCCTGTGGATCCGAGAGACACACACACACACACACACACAGACACACACACACACACACACCCAGTGAACAAAGCTCTCCTGTGATCCTTACTCATGCGTGCTTGACTCAGACTAACAGGGAAGCCAGCATTAATCAATTACACAAATAATTAATTGAGTGCATTTGCCCTAAGTGCTGTTAAAAAGAAATACAGGGATCCAAGAGATTGCATAACACGGATGGTGGGGGAGCTAATTTAGTCCAGGAATTGGGGCAGACTTCGCTGAGAAAGCCGCTGGTGGGATCTTGCTGGAGCAGCTCGGAGAATGGGGATATGAATAGAGAACGGTTATGTTACTTCTTTGTTATAGGCTTATGCTGTATTTATATAATAACATTATGTTGTTTATATTCTATTTGCATTTTTGTACCGTATGTGTTACTTTTGTTCTTCCTGCGAGGTCCTCACCTTACAATTTACAAAGCGCTTGTCCACCCTTCGTGTCCCGGGCTCCTCACCCAGGCCCCCCTGGAGGCGGCCAGCCAGTCACCCGTTCAGTGCAAAGGGCTTGGGCTTTCAGGTCAGGCCATCCTGAGTCCCCATCTCAGGCCTGTTACTCACTCTCTGCGTGACCCTGGGCTCACCACTCTCCCTCTCTGATGTTCAATCTTCCCAACAGTTAAATGGGTCAGATAGTGGTCCCCACCCACCAGGCAGGGGACCTACAAAGTCCTAGGGCAAAGTTCCCATTGGACATCTGCAAAATTAAAATATAAAATACAGAAAACATAGTGGGTGGGTTTTTTAAAAATAACACTACAGTTATTTAAGGGAAGTAGCTTTTATTCTAAGATAATGCCTTATATTTTTACATTAAAATACCCTTTATTTTGTGAAATGATGGTGGTTTTTTTAAAAAAATGTCTTTAATTAGCACACTAGCAACCCCTTTTTTTAGGGCTTATTTAATCCCAAAGATGGGGACCACTCACTGGACCCTCCTTTTAGCTTCCAGAGCTTCCGTGTCAGGGAAGATTTTCTGGGTCCAAACAGTGACCCCAGCTTCTCGCTTCACAGGGCCCAACCGCCGCTACCAGGTGAATGCAGTGCACACCAGCAAGGCCTGCAACGTCATCAGCAAATACACAGCCTTCGTGCCCGTGGACATGAGCAAGAGCCGGTACCTGCCCACCGTGGTGGAGTACCCCAACTCCGGTAAGGCAGGTACGGGGGCTCCGGCACTCCTGAGGGACAGAGGGAGGTGGCTGAGATACAGAGGATCACACACCTGCAGGAAGGGTGCGAGGCAAGGCCTGGAAGCAGCAAGGCCCCCAGCGGATGTTCTGGTCACCATGAGGTGGGGGCACGCGCTCTGCAGAGGCTGTGAGATCATCCCACTCCCTTTTTCCCACCAATGAAAATGTCTTTATTGCATTTCTCCAGCTGGGACAATGATACCTGCTTATTGTAGAAAATTCCAAAAAATAGAAAGATACAAAATATATAAAACTGACAGCCATCCAGGAAGGAGCACTACTTACCTCTTTGGCGTGACCATCCTTCCAGAGTTCTCTCTTCCATCTAGGTGTAGAGAAATCAAAAGTCAGATCATTGTACGTGAATTGGACCATACCGATATGCGCTATAGTTTACAAAATATGGGTATGGAGAGTGTCTCTCCGTTAGGTAAATCTGTGTCCTCATTTTTGTAGTCACAGCCCGCTCCACCGCAGGGAGGTGGTGTCATCATGATGGCCAATGAGAAAGGGTTCCAAAACATCTTGTATATATTTTAAATCAACTAATCCTCAAAACAGCTCTGCAAAACCGATACCATTATTACCCCCATTTTGCAGATGGGAAACAGGGGGGTTAAGTGACTTTTGTGAGGTCACACAGCAGTGAGGGGCAGAGTCAGGCTTTGAATCCCAGTGTCCTGGCCCCAAAGGATGAGTTCTCTCCTACTCATCCCTACTGGCTCTTAGATACCTTCCCACACCTAATGGGTACAGTGCACACTATCTGGGGGATGGACACACAACTTTGACTCAAGTGGTACAAAAGCAATTTATGTAACCGAACATTTATGCCCCCATAATATTGTGACATTTTTTTTTAAAAAAAAAAGATATATCACAACCTTTTTAGCCTATTTAGACATTTAGTGTATTCCCCATGTGGTTACTGCAAATTATACTGCTAAGAACATCTTTGTGTGTCTGTCTGGTTATCTCCTTGGGATTAATTAACTCTTAGAAGTAGCATTGCAATGTCAAGGGCATGCATATATAAAATTGGGATATATATTGTCAAACTGCCGCCACCCGCCCCAAAGTTTATTCTGATGTCTATCCGCCCCAATACTGAATATTGTTTACCTTTCTCAACTCTGCCAGTCTGATAGGTGAGAAAAGAATCTCTCTTGGACCATTTCGTTAATTTTTTTTTGTAGTTCATGTTTATGAACTTTCATGCTTTTTGTTTCTAAATTACATTTTTTTCTTTCCTTCGTGGTTCCCTTTTTATTTTTTAGCAGACCTCCAAATAGAATCGTGTTGGGAACAAAACATGACCTTCCTCATTCCTCCTGCCACCTTTTCTTATCCGTGGTCCCAGAATGATCAACTTCCCATCCTATCCCCCTCAATTGCTGTCATTTCAAGCAATGTAGCAGCCACTCTACCCAGGCCATTGCTTCAGTGGCTGGTTTCATTATTCACATTGCCAAGACGACTGTCCCTCCCATCTCCCACCCATCTCCGACCAGCCTGCCAGCACCTGCGGCCACCGCCTAAGAAGTTGAGGACCTGCCCATATCTCAACCCAAGCCCCAAAGCACCCTAAGGTCTAGATTTGCACTTGCTCAAGTGAGTTCCAAGAAACTAGAACCCAGTCTGATGTCGTGCCATGCATCATGAAAATAGAAAATATCAAATTAGGAAATACATTTAGGAACCACTGGATTAAATAAAGCTCAAAAGCTTTCTTTGCTTCGCTGCAGAACTTCTCAGAGCCTTTAGTCTGTTAATATACATCAAGATGTTCAGACAATGTACTATAGTATGCAGCCTCTTCAAAACTTGTTTCCCAAGATAACTTTATCTTCTTTAAGTAATAACTTAAAAACTAATGTTCTCTGAAAGTGGGGTTCCCTAAAGCATACTTTAGGGTGCTGTAACTTCATCTCTCTTCCATCTACCACCTGTTGGTGATACCCTGGGACTTCAGGGGTCTGCCCTGTGGGACGGGGGCCTGGCACGTGGGTTTCTGAGGTACTGGACAGAGAGAAGGAAAGCAAACTGTTTCTGAGAAAAGCAGCCTTTCAACTAACTAGAAACCATTGCTCCTTCCTGAACATTCTATGAGCAGCAGTGTCTACCTGGCAAGGCAGGTGCTATTATCCCCACTTTCCGGGTAAGGACGCTGTGGTACAGAGAGGTTAGCACCCCATGCAGCTGGCCAGAGACGGGGCTGGGGCTCAAAGCCCAGTCTTTCTCACTCTAAATCTCGTGGTCTTACCTTGCACAATGAATTCCTTCCTGCCTTTCGGAAAGACCGAAGCCAGAATCGGTCCTGCCAGCCTTGGGGAAGAGGGGAGGACCGGCACATTTGTACCCAACTGCCCTTCCTCCTTGTCCTCCATGCAGGTGTCGCACTGCGGATGGTCAACACCCGGGCACTGACCCGGCAGTGGAGGGACACCTCTGCTGGCCTCGGACGGACCCAGATCACGCTCAGAGAGGACTCGGCAGCTGGAGACGGCAAATTCCAGACCCTAAGTAAGAGCACGTTCAGAAGCCTGGGCCCCTGGCGTTGCGGCACCCTCATGCCCGAGGCCCCAGAGGCCTCTCGCTGAGTCTGTGCTCTGGACTTAGCAGGGCCAGGGCACAGCCAGGCCTGCAGACGAGGGGCTCAGGGTGGCCCCAGCACACCGCTGACACAGCTCTGTCTGCCAGAGAGTGGCACCGCCTCCCTGCCCTTTCGAGGTCCCCGACCCAGTGGCTGTCCCCTGCCTCCAGCCTCTGAGTCCTCCCAGGCACCAACTGCCAGGAAATCTAATAAGGAAAAAAACAAAAAAAAAAACGAAGAGCAAAGATGCAGTTCCATCTGTTTGGGTCCCACCATCTGTTTCTTTCAGGAATCCCAACAGCTTCCTTTGAGCTCTCCTGATTTCGCTGTGCCTGCAGCGCGGCTCCCTGGAGAGCCCGACCTTGCGCTCTTTCACAGGATGGCTTTGACCCTGTGTGTCCTGCATAGATGCGTGCCTTTCTGTCTCTAAAGACAGCCTAACTACTGCACTAGTCCTAACCCCTTTCCTGATTCCCTCACATGCACGGCAGGATCTCCTGCCTTCCGCCGTGCATGGAGAGGACATCGGGAGTCCCACCCGGCCGCTAGCCCAGCTACCCAGACCGTTAGAATTTGGCACTCAAGGTACCAGAACCTGCTCACAGATGTCGATGGGTTAGAAAACGAGAGCACTGTGTGAGCGAGTGAAGAAGCAGAGGAGCTCTTCAGGATTAAGGCTTCTGATTCCTTCTTGATCCCTTTGGCTCCAAGAGCCAGGGGAACCAGCTCCGCCCCGAGCCAAGCCGAGCCGCCAGCGGACAGGAAACTCCCGGTCTACCCTTTCCTTTCTCTGCGGCTTAGCTCCTGGTGGCCCACGGCTCCCGTCACATCACAGACCCCTTCCTTCCAGTTGTCCTCTGACTCGTGCCCCTGTCTCTGACTTCTGAACTCTCATTCTACCCAAGCCTCTCCCTCCCTGAGGAAGACGGTGGCTAACACGGAGACTTTTCCATATGCCGGGCACTGTTCAAATTGTCTGTGACTCCTCACGACCATCTTGAGAGACTTCTTTTTATGTTTCCCATTAAGAGATGGGGACACTCAGAGAGGTTAAGTGACTTCCTCAGGGTCACACAGCCAAGGTTTGAACCCAGACTCGTTTGGCCCAGAGTCCATGAGGTTAGCCGCCCTCCTATCTGCCTTGTGGTTGCCTCAGTCATTCAGTCGTTCGGTCCCTAGGGCACTCTCGTGCTGGGTGCTGCGGCCACGAGTGGAGCCCCATCTGGGCCCTCACAGAGCTAATGGTCTCATGGCGGGGGGCAGGGGCTTTGCTGAGCATATTTGCACATAAAGCTTTTTCTAGAATTTGGACTACTCCCTTATAGTAGACTGCCCCATCACCCTCTGGCCCTCGGAAGAGTAGTCATAAAAATAATCACCTTGGTTCTGAGTTCTGAACAAAGAACATGCGATTAGTATCCCCATTTTACAGATGGGGTAACTGAGGTTCACAGCTGCATTCAGCTCTGAGTCAGTGCTGTATTCTGGTGCATTCTGGAGAGCTGGCATGAGCCCCTCCCCAGCGAGGCACAGACCTGGTGAGGAGAGGCACACCCCTCCCCCACCCCTGACCCCCACCCTGAGGCCCCTGACCGCTTCTGCTCCCCTGCCTGTCTGTAGCCTCAGGGCTTAAATTTCATCCTTACAGCAACACTGTGAGATAGGTACCATGATGCCCGATTTGCAATCAGAATTTAAGAAGTAACTTTGCCAAGACCCCATGGCTGGCCAATGCGGGAATCGGGATTTGAACCCCAGCAGGTCTGACCTCATGGTGGTGCAATGGTTATATTTTGGAAGATAAAGGCCATCCGTGCCAGGGTTGAAACCCTGACCTTGCTCCCCAGCCCACACTCGGGCACTGTGAACTAGACCAGCACTGTCCCTGGGGACAAGGGGTGAGGAAGGGGGGGCCGGGAGGGGTCGCGGCTCACTGGCTCCTCCGCCCTAGATGTGGAGACGGCCTCTGCCGTGCCCTTGAACCAGACCATGTCCCTCAGCCGGGAGAAGCACACTGCTCCCAAAGGTGAGTGGGCAGTGGGCGCTGCCTCTCCTTAATCAGGAGGGCGGTTGTGATTGGTCCTGGGTCAGGAGAGTGTCCCAGTACCAACATGTCCCAAGACTGTGTTGATTCCTCAAAACAGCCCTATGTGAGATGAGTCGGATTATCCCCAATTTAAAGATGAGGCATTGTGGGAGGCTGATGCAGAAGGATCACTTGAGGCCAAGAATTCAAGACCAGCCTGGCCAATAAGTGAGACCCCTGTCTCTACAAAAAAATAAAATAAAAAATTCAGCCAGGTGTGAGAGTGCATGCCTGTAATCCCAGCTACTCGGAAAGCTGAGGCAGGAGGATTGCTTGAGCCCAGGAGTTGGAGGTTGCAGTGAGCTATGATTGCACTACTACACTCTAGCCTGGACAACAGAGCAAGACCCCATTTCTAACAAAACAACTTTTTTAAAAATAAGATAAATAAAGATGAGGAAACTGAGGCTTGAACAGGTGAAGTGACTTGCAAGGTTACACAGTATGTCAGTGAGAGGGCTGGGCCTGGAGTCAGGCCTTCTGATTCCAGCTGAGGGTCGACCGTACCCCCCACTCTGCCCAGGGTCCTCCAGGAATGTGCTGGGGAGGTCAACTCGATGTCTGCATTTGGGAACAAGGGAGTTGATGTGAGCTGTCACTGCCCCCCTCACAAGTAACCTCCCAGAAGATGCCAGGGGCCACCTACCAAGGAAACTTGGAGGCCAGTGTTTCCATGTGGACACACGTATTCCACCCCTCCCATACCACTGAGACAGAAACCCCCCTGCACCCTAATGGCTGGCTTGGGTCGCTAGGGACGGGGCTATAGTCAGGCCCCTGCCCCTCTCTAGGCCTCTATTTCTCCAGCTGGGCAGTGAGCAGTTGGATAGGGTCATGTGTCCAGCCTCAACTCTGTCCTTCTGTGGCTTTCCAGGTCCCCTGTGCAGTCTGGCCACCAATACCCTTTCTTCCGAGAAGGCCTCAGAGACTCTCTTTAGCTCCAGGTAAGTGGGACTTCCCATGAGGGTGCACTCACTCTCCTGGGGGAATAACTCACTTGGAAGGCCAAGGGCAGGTCCAGCCTGACATTTAGACAGGTGCTAAGAAGGCCCCTCCACCCAGAGCTGTCACTGTCTCCCAGGTCTCACACTGCCTGCCATCTTCCCCTTATAGACCACCTCCTACACCTCCCTGGCCCCTGTTCAAGTGCAGATCCCCTGGGAGGGCTGGCACACAACCCTCTCTGACCACTGGCCTGGGCGAGAATACGACATCAAAAGAGGGCGTGAATGAACACTGGCCTGCTCCTAGTCCTGGCAGCTGCTAACTCTCTGAGTGACCTGGGGCAGGTGTCTGCCCCTCTCCCCAGGCCTCCGTTTCCCCAGCTGTCAGGCAAGGAGTCGGGAGGAGGCCGTCTGTTGAACGCCTTCTGGCCCTGACTTGCAGCAGCTTCTGGGTGGGCACTAGGAGGCGGGATGACCAGGGACCCCCCACTCCACCTGCACAGGCTGAAGCTCAACAAGTCCAGGCTGCTGACACGGGCGGCCAAGGGCTTCCTGAACAAGCCGCTGATCAGAGCTCCAGAGCCCGCCTCGGGGAGCCAGAGCTTCGACTACATACCGCTGGTGAGTGCCCGACCCCAGGCCCACCCCACTGCCACCCCACTAACTGGCAGGGCCTCCCTGCCACCCCCCGCCCACCCCTCCACCTCCTCAGAAGACCTGTCTGGGAGCTCAGATCCCCACGTTCTGCAGCTTCCCAGAGCTTCCCACCCAAGTAGCCAGCAGGGCAGAGGGAGTTTGCATGCATCTCCCCCGCCCAGGGGTCCAAGGATTTTGCTAGAAGCCAGCACCAAATCACAAAAATTCCTTGCAATTTGCTGTCTTCACCTTAAAATTTTGTGGGAATTTTTCTTTCTACTCCACCATCTATGTGTCTATTTTGTACATAAAAATAAGCTTCAAAATGACTCACAAGTGAGTAAAATTAAAACCTCAGGGACATGCACCGTGTTTAGCAAGTGGGTCTGCAGATGCTATAGCGTGTGTGGCCGGGTGGGAAGGTTCAGAGTGGGCTTCTCTGAACTGAGGAGCAAAGGAGACAGCTGGGGCCCCTCGGGTCTTGGGGAACAGAGAGTGCTCGAAGGAGGGACACGGTTTGAGCTTCACTGTACATTTCCTGTCCCTGTACACCCAAGTGCACAATGTCATTCTGAATTTCCAAATACCCAGGGCAACAGAACACTGTGTATCTTCACTCAATGACTATTTCTCGAGTCAGGCCCAGTGCTAGACCCTGGGGCGACAACCTTGAACTAGACAAATACAGTCCTTGCTCTTATGGTGCTTGGCATCTAATGGGACCCAGACAAAGAACCGGGCAGTTCTAATGCTTGGAGCTGTGATAGGGAGGTCCGGTTCAGCAGAGGAGTCCAGGGGGTGGACACCTAACCCAGGCTCCAGCTAGGCTCGGGTGGCATCAAGCATGACTTCCTGAAGAAGGTCATGGCTACGCCCAGACCTGAGGGTGAGGAGCTATGGAGGAGAGAGAGAGCGTGTCAGGTGGAGAATGGATTTGAGGGGTAGGAGCCGAGGACAAACCAGGGCTGGCTCATGTGGGGCTTTGTTAATCACACTTTGGACTCACTCTAAGAGACGCTGAAGCCATGGAACTGGGCCTCCCCACGGTGCATGCTCCGTGCCTCACAGAGATCCCTCCGCCTGCGGGACAGATGGGTGGGGTGGGGACAGGGGAGAGAGACGAGGCGAATGGTGGCTTGCAAGGCAGTGTAGACAGCGGACCTGTTGGGATTTGGACACCGGTGGGTGTGGGGGAGGAGAGCGGCCTGACTCCACTGCACGGCAGGGGACAGTCCCAGGGGCTGAGCCAGGCCCACCTGCCCAGGACGAGAGGCAGGTTTGGAGTGAAGACGTTAACGTGGGCTTGGAGAGCGGTCGGTCTGAGGTGCCTGTGGGACAAAGACGGGGACGCTCAGTTGGCCCAGGCAGCCCAAGTGCCCAGGCAGCCGGGGTGGGGCGGCAGTGTGGACGCAGACGGTGCATGGCCTGGGGCCCAGGGGCTGACGCGTTTGAGGCCCACTGAGGGGCTTCCCCACACACAGGTGTCTCTGCAGCTGGCCTCCGGAGCCTTCCTGCTCAACCAAGCCTTCTGCGAGGCCATCCACATCCCCATGGAGAAGCTCAAGTGGACCTCGCCCTTCACCTGCCACCGAGCGTCCCTCAGTACCCGCCAGGCCGGGTCTAAGGCCCCGAGCCCCCAGCTGTGCGCCAGACCCTCGTCTCGGCACTCCGCCTGTGACAGCTTCTCCTCCTCGGAGCCCCTGGCCGAGGGCAGGCCGGGCCCGGAGTCGAGGGCGGCAGTGGAGCACGCGGGGAAGCTGTGGGCCACGGTGGTGGGGCTGGCGTGGCTGGAGCACAGCTCGGCCTCCTACTTCACCGAGTGGGAGCTGGTGGCCGCCAAGGCCAACTCGTGGCTGGAGCAGCAGGAGGTGCCCGAGGGCCGCACCCGGGGCACGCTCAAGGCCGCTGCCCGCCAGCTGTTCGTGCTCCTGCGGCACTGGGACGAGAACCTCGAGTTCGATGTGCTCTGCTACAACCCGAATTACGTGTAGGAGGTGGGGGAGCCTGGGGGGCAGGGGAGGACAGGGACAGGCGGGGCCATTTCCGCCTGGTGGGGAGAATTTCGAAGCTGTAGCCAATGTTTCAGTTGCTAGAAAGAGCCGTGGACTGGCAGTCAAGAGGCCTGAGTGCAATCCCAACTCTGCTACCCCCTCGCTGTGCAACCCTAGGCCAGTCCCTGCCCTGTCTGGGCCTCCTGACTGCCAGTGAGATGAGGGAGTTGGACTAGATCTCAAATGGTTCAAAGGTTCCTTTCTGCCCAGACATTTGGGCAGTCCCAGGCCTCCTGCTACCAGGGGGCTGGCAAGAGAAGATACAGTTTAATCCTGAGTCCTCTCTGGAGGTGGAGCACGTGGGCGCAGAGTGGGAACAGCAGCGCCCCCCAAAATAAAAAGGTGGATGAGAGAACGCGGCCACGACAAATGCCAGACACACAAGCTCCAATCTCGGCTCGGAGAGACCACCCAGTCTGTTGCATTGTGGGATAGGCTCTTGTCTCCAGGGTGACAGTCTGAGACCCCCAAATCCCACTTCTAAGCCAACCGGACAACTTTCTCTCCCAACATTTTACAAAAGAGTCGCTGGGGGGGGGGTGTCTTTCTTTCAGCCAGGAAGCCCCCTTGGTACCATTCGGTGTTAGTTTGCAGGTCACGTGTGGCTTCCTGTCTAAGAAGAGGTGGTGGGCAGGCCCAGGGGCAGTACCTTGAGAGCTGAAGGGTTAGATTTAAGTGACAATCTGTGCAAAAATAGTCTAAAAAGAATGGATGTGGCCACAGACGTCAGTGAAGGAAATCAGCGACACCGTAAATAATTTACACACTTTTCAGGGATTGGGTAAAGCCAGCTCCACCCCTTGTGCTGAGGGGCCAGGGAGGCATCCCCAGGGTCACTGCGTCCCAGGATGGGGCCTCCCGCCTTGCCACCGTGGGGGACAGAGGAGCCTCTGTGCCACAGAGAGCCACACTTGGCTACAAGGCATTTGGGGACAGCCACTTTGGCTGGGAGGCAGGATTTGTCTGGTGAAATGAAAGAATCTCAAAGCTTCAAAGTAGGAGCCCCCGGGGGGCTTCCTTCCCTCAGGCCCACCGAGTGTCTGTCCCCACATGGGGACTGGAGGGCTCCGGCCTCAAGGTCCTTCCTGGCTGGGGTCAAACTGCCCAGTGTCCTCTGCCTGTCCCACTCCCCTGGAGGTGGGTCTGGACCTCACCAAGGAACCCCCCAGCTTGGGACCCCAGGCTGAATCGTGCACCTGTGACCCCCCCTCTCCCCCAGGCCTTGCTCTCTCTTCATCTGATTGCTCTCCCAAGTCCGCTGGCCCTGGCATGAGGCTCCTCTTTGGGGACACCTTGAGAGCTCAACTTGTCAAACAGTCCGGGGGACCCTGTGGGCTCTGGGGCAAGTCCCAGCTCTGTGAAGACGCAAGGAATGTGCAGTCATCGGCAGGGGCTGGAGGGAGGGAGGGGCTCCAGCAGAACGCCCACCTGGTGTGACAGGAAAGGCAGCCCCAACAGGCTGCAGTGCCCTGCCCCGCACCCCCAGCCCTTCAGCCCAGCCCTCCTGCTGTGCTGCGGAATCTTCCAGCAGGTGTCCTCCCTGCGGCCCTCTTGAGACTTAGGATAAAGTCGCATGCCCGCTGACTGGCTCTGCTTCAGACTCACCCTCCCGGGAGGGACCTAGGCAGGCCGTCTCTGACACTGGCCACCACCACCCCAGGCAGGGCAGGATGCCAGTCAGGGGAGTTGTCTCAGTGCCACCAAGGGGACCGAGGGCTTTAGGTTGTCTTGCTCAAGGCTTTAGGCAGATGTGAGTGGAGCTTTGTCACCTCCTGCAGACCTCCCCTCTCCGCCACCGACAGCCCTTCCGTAGCTACGCAGGCAGCAGTCCCAGCTTCACGGTGAGGATGGAGAGAGATGGCATCCACTTCCTGGCCCACTGCTAATGGGAAAATTGTCAGGTGGCAGGTCAGCATGTCTGGACTCAGGTCTCAGCCCTGCTACTAGCGTGGGCAAGTGGCTTCCCCTCCTGGGCCACTGCGGTGGGGGCTTCCTGCCGCTCTGACAGTCCCCAGACCCTCTGCCCCTGGGATGTCGCCCTCCCAGTGAACATGAATTTGCTGTAGCTCTCTGTGTGACCTTGGACAAGTGTGTGCGTTCTGGGCCTCTTTCCTCCTCTACGTAACCAGGGTGGGCGGGGCCATCCAGCTCCCCAGCCCCACATAAGCCTGACCCTGGGTCTCCAGACCTTGGTGTAGACAGTGACCAACTGGGGTTCGAGGTGCTCCAGCCCCTGCCCAGTGTGGAACCAGTGCTACAAGATGCCTGGGGGAGCGACTGAGAAACCCGGCACGGTGGCGGGCACGCCACCCCCTTCTCCAGGGAAGCTCCGCAGCCCCAGCCCCGTGGCAGCCATTGGAGCTCTGCAACCCGTTTGATGCATGAGCAAATTTGCCGATCTCCAAAACCCCTGGCTCCCCTGCCCGGCTCGGAAGGCAGAGAGGACAAAGTCCTCATTGGTTGCAAATAACTCAAGGGCTCTGGCGAGATGTCTGAACAAGAGACACTTTAAAAGAACTTTAGTGGCATTGAGATGACACAGTGGCCTCAGGAATCTGCTACCAGGATTGCTAAGCAGGGGGCCTAAGGAACTAGCTTTAAGGAAAAGATAAGAACCTTAGGTAATTAGTACATGCGTTTGAAGCTGAAGTGGTTCCAAAGGTTCTCAAGTAGGTAAAACATTGCCCCTGCAGTCTGGTTTAATTTGGATTAATCTGTCAAACCAGCCCTTGCTTTCTAGATCGTACCAAGGAACATTCTCGCCCTGAGTTGTCTGAAGACATGCCTAAGGGCGCTGTCTGACAAAGCCCAGCCTGCAAGCTGCCTTCAGTGGGGAAACGCTGACCCAAGAGTTGGGAAACCTAAGTGTTGGTCCCAGCTCTACCACCAGTGTGCTGTGTGACTTTTGGCAAATTGCTTGATTTCTCTGAGCCCCTGTTTTGTCTTTTGTAGAATGATGGAGTTACACTAGATCAGCATGTCCAACCCTGTTCCCCAGGTGAGATGTGAGTAGGCAACCCATGAGGGACTGCTCTGTGGGCAGATATGTTGGGAAAACTAACTTCTTTAGGTGAGAACAACTCACCCCATTGGTGTGTTAATGTGCACTGCCGGCTCCGGTGAGGTGGTCTAGCCAGAGGGTTACTCAGTTGAAAACTGCTGGTCTAGATCTCCCTTAGGATTCCTGGGGCCCTAACATTCAGAAAGTCTTGAGCGCTTACTGTATGCCAGGCACACTAGGGTCCCACAGTGAACATAGAGGTGCTGTCCCTGCCTTTTTTGGAGCTTGGCAAGAAGCATTTGAAGAGTGTCTGCTGCATGAGTCATTTCCCCACTGCCCGGTGTTCCAGGTGGGTTCGTCCTGACTGGTCCCCGAATGTCCTGCCTCGTGTGGGTGTGGCCTCAGACCAGGGCTGTGTAGGCGCCCTGAGCCTTGAGACTCTCACTTGTGGTTTAGGTGCAGCTGACCACAGTAGCACGTAGCATCGCGCAGCCAGACGGGAGCTCCTGCCGGGGGCCTCCTTGTTCAGGTAGAACAGGGGTGTCCCTTCAACAGAGTGCCCTGAGGGTCCGACCCCCTGCCACACGTGGATACAGAGCCCTGTCTCCGAGGCCCCTCACTCGGGAGACCCACTCCAGATCCCGGGAAAACTGGACCCACGCTTGGGCAGACTCACACTGGACTTGTCCACAAGCAGGCTCGGTTTCCAGCCTGCACCTGTGTTTCCCAGCCGGTCCCCTCCCTGTGGGCCAAGAGAATGGCATCCACTGTCACTCCACTGCCCTGACATGCCACTCACTATGATGAATGGAGTGGCCGCTCCCAAGGCTAGCTGTTGGGGGTGGGGGGTCACCTGCTATTCAGATACATGGGAAGCAAGGGTTGCTCGGGCTCCCTTTAGCCAGTTCACTGGAATAGCTGCCACAAAAGGTTTCTGGACGTTTCCCCCAAATCCTGACTTGATCCCTACCCTTATCCGAGGGCCAAGTTTCCTCCTCTCTTGGCTACTGTTCCCCTTCTCTCTTCCTTGGCAGGGACTCCCTATGAGAGGGAGGGAGGAAAGGGGTCTCCCCACCTGTGTGCAGCCCGGCCCCCAGCCCCGAGACTGGCTGCCCTGTTGACCTGCCTGGGTGGAACCCGCCCCTGGGGGTCCACGTGCTGCCTGTCACCGCTTGCACACCGTGATCTGTCCGTCCCTAGACACACATGCGTTCTGCACTCCGTGTGCCCTGGGAAGGGAAAACGAAGGGTATTGCCACCCCAGGAACGGGGCGTGTATTCACTGCCATGGCACTTGGAAGATCTTTCTTTCCTCACCAATCAAGCAGGGACGAGAGGAAGGCAACAAAAGAATGGGCGCATTCTTCAATTGTGACATAGCATGCTCCATGGTGCCAGGGTAATGACCAGGGCAGCAGGGGTGTGAGTGGCATTTTGCGGCTGGATAATCTGATCCACGGAGATCTGTCTCAAAGTCAGGGGCTTGGCAGCAGCTCCAGCCCCTCCTGTAGAGCTCCCCGAGACCCACCCGTCCACCCTGCCCCCGGCCTGTTGACTTCGCCTTAACAGCACTGCCTCCCGGGTTCCTGATAAGGTGGGGTTTCTCCTGTCCATGCTGCAAATCTCCTTGGCTCAGGGCCAGCTATCTTGAGCTTACAGCTGCCTCCCAAGGCAAAGCGCCTCGCCCCAGTGCAGCTGACTGTGGTGCCACATGTGGTAGAGTTGTACTATTTGCCCAGGTGGCTTTGGCTCAAGTGGCATGGCCGGTGCTTGTCCCTGTCAAAGCCTCAAGTGCCTACAACGTGCTGCCCACCCCTTCGCCTGCTCACCAGTAATGTCCCCTCGGTGCATGTGACACTTCCTCACTCTTGGAATACGTATGACCTGCTTGCCCGGTAGCCAGTTACATAGATGCTGTGGATGTCCCGGACATCAGCCGTCTAATGTCCACCGATATTTAGCAAATCCTGCCCTGGGGCTGTGTGTGTCTGTTCTCAAAGCAATGGCTTCTTTGTACGTGGTGGCTACTGTTCTCTTCTTGGCTTTGAGCTCATAAAAATTGTCAAACCTTGCAACATGGCAAAATTATACTTGTGTCTGCTATTCTCAAAGCCAATAATACATGGCTTTCAAGTGATCTGTTTGCCTCACTTAGTGTGTCACATGTGTCCTGGTTTGGATTCTCTCCAACATTGACCAACTGTTCCAGGTTGCCCAGGACTGAGGGAGGTTGCCGGGATGTGGGATTTTCAGTTTGAAAACTGGGACAATCCTTGTCAAACCAGGACAAGCTGGTCAGAATAGTTCCTCCCCAAAGCAGAGCCTGAGATAAGGATTGAGTGCAAATAGTTTAT